CTTGTTGTTGATGATGATGATGATACTGTTTATGAAGAGAATAATGATGATGATTTTGTTGTTTCTGTTGTGATGATGATGATGTTGTTGTTGGGATGGTGATAATGATTATGTTGACCATAATGTTATTGCTAATGACACTGTTATTGTTGATGACGATGATGATGGTGATATGACGATGATAATGATGATAATAATGATGGTGATGATGACGACGACGATGATGACGATGATGATGATTATGATAATAACAATTCTAATGATTTTTATCATTGCTAAATGAGAGACGGCAAAACAATTAGAGTGAAGGATGTGTGTGTGTGTGCGTGTGGACTGATGTTGAATGGTGCATTCAACAAACAAATCGATGGATGCATGGATGAATGGATGGATGGATGGATGAATGAATGGATGGGTGGGTGGATGGGTGGATGATGGATTTGTGGATGGATGGATGGACGTTATTTGACAGTTATTCTTGTTGTTTCAGTTATTTTACATTTTTATTATTTATTTATTTATTATATTATTATCATCACTACCATCTTAACATCATTATCATCGCCATCATCATTACCACCATCATCATCACGACATCATCACCATCACCACTATCATCACAAGAACATCATCATCATTATCATCAAAAGAACATCATCATCATCATCATCATCATCATCATCATCATCATCATCATCATCATCATCATACTCATCAACCCATCCTATAAAATCATCCCCATCATCGCCTTCAATCGGAAAATCATTTTCATTAATTTTCTCATGAAAACAAATTGTGTCAGAGTTGTTAGACTTCTCCGTCATTCGAAGCCACGTCCCCATCACTTCTTCTCTCAGTTTAGCCCACAAACATTCTCCCAACGCGCCTTTTCCTCACGTACGTACACGCATTTTCAATTTTTTTCATTTCCATCCACAATAACGAACGGTTCAGCAACAGGTTTGCATAACTGGCTGACGATAAACTAGAATTCAATGGAAGGCTTGAGACAAGCAGGATTATTTTTGAATGTTTCTGCGATGGAATGACGATTACATGTTTCATTCATAGTGCATAAAGCTGCAGTCGTCATAGATTTCAAAATGGAAAATAATTTTCAATGCTCTGAGAGACTCAGGGCGAATACTTTTTTCACTCTGAAATTTATCTTGACACGGTTGATGGGGCCGACAAATGTTGAAGTGCATAATGATATTTGAAATTAATGCACTCCACCCACATCCATTCCTACTTGCCGCTCAAAAAAAACACATAACAATCGAAACTCTCTGAACGTATTCTTGTTCTTTTCACAGATATTTTCTCCTCAAAATAATTCTTAAAGAACAAAATAACTTTTAAAAATGTGGAAAAGAAGTGAATTGATGGAAGTTAAATTCCAGAGTTGAATGCAGCCTAAAGCCTCCTCAAGGAAATAAAATTAAACGTCATTGATCTAATTAAACTTTCTCCACTGCCCTCTTTACACGAGCTCACCTTTCAAAATGTTTCAGTATTTATTTTGGGCACTTGGTGTTACTTTATATCTAACCAACCTCCATGCTCTCACTGATATCTTTTTTCAGTAGAATTTAAAAGGATTATGAGATCAACAACAATCAACATGAACACGTTAACAACATCAACATGTTGACAATTGCAACAACATCAACAACATCAACACGTTGACAACAGCAGCAACATCAACAACATCAACACGTTTGCAACATCAACAACATCAACAACATCAACACGTTGACAACTGCAACAACATCAACACGTTAGCAACTGCAACCAGAGCAACACCGTCCAACAGTACCAGAAACAACTTCACTGAGTGACCAACAACATAGGACCAAGAGCAACAACACTTTTGCATGAAATCCAATCCAGCCGATCGTGAATGTGAATGACTTGGAACAAGCAACAACAACAAGGTAGCCTGTGCACGCAGGCAAAAGTTATAATCATTCGTCAGGAATAGGCTCATCTACCACGTTCAACCAATCTCGCCAATATCATACAACCCCCAACCGCCTTCCTCTTCACTTCACCAACAATCCATCATCACGACATCATCATCATCAACGTCAGCATCATCATCATCATCAACGTCAATATCATCATTCTCCTCATCACCGTAGACGTCATCTTCAACACCATCATCAACATCGTCATCAACATTAACATCATCATCATCACCACCACCATCATCATCATCGTCATCATCACCACCATCATCCTCAACATCATTATCATCACCATCATTAACACCATCACCATTTTCATCATCATCATCGTCATCATTAGCACCTTCATTGTCTTAACGCTCGCCATATTTCTAGACTTCAATTTATTACTATTATCAGGCGGCTATTTTTACATTTTTAAAGTTTTTAAAAAATAGTTTGATAAGTTACTAACTGGAATGTTTCATTCATTCATTTGTTCGTTCATTTGTTCCTTCGTTCTTTCGTTCATTCACCATCCATCCATCCATTCATTCACCATCCATTCATCTATCCATTCATTCACAATTCATCCATCCATCCATTCATACATTCAGGAACTCAATCATTCAGGAATTCATTCAATTCAATTCATTTGTTTCCACCGAAACCAACATTTAACGTGTGGTGTTGCATTCATTATACAATACTATCTTCAAGATCCTCACCGAAAATTCATACATACGCAAATATTGAACAAACCGTAAAACAAGTTTTAAACTCACTATACTTTAATATATGAAAGATGATTGCAAACAAACTGAAACTGACCAGCCAGTATCTTGAAACTGACCAACCAGTATCTTTAAACCAACCAACTAGTATCTTTAAACTGACCAACCAGTATCTTGAAACTGACCATCCAGTATCTTGAAAATGACCAACCAGTATCTTGAAAATGACCAACTAATTTTTAAAACGGACCAACTGACCAGCTTTTTTTTTTAAACTGACCAAGAAGTTCTTGTTGAATGAAATTTCTTAGATAGCACATTGTGTGGGAGTAACCTGTTGGAAAAAAAACTGCAAAAGAATGCACGTAGACTCGTGCTTGGATAAGAGAATTAAAAAGATTTAATGGAGGAAGCAAAAACATTAAGAGCTGCTCATAATCACGGCATATCCATCTGCTGCTGCTTTTGCTGCAATATTTTCATTCTTTTTTATTTCATCTTTTTGTTCTGTCAGAAAAAATTCCAAACTTTTAATTTTGCCGTTATTTTTCTGTACAACAACATTTTTGTATAATTACGTTTGGATTTAATTACAAACCAAGTTTATAAACGAATTTATTTTAAAAAAGCTTTTGGATTTAGATTGTTTAAATATTAAATACTTATCATGATGTTTATAAACAAATGAAAAAAAAATCATTCATAAAAAGGAGAAATTTAATTTTACTGAATCACAAATGTGTTCTGCTTTTTAAATGTTATTCTTATTTGATTTGAAATATTTAAATGGAGTCTAAATTAATTTAAATTTATTAAATTTAACTTAAATTAAAACTAATCTAAGGTTTCGATCATACCACAACAATTTTGTAATATCAACTCTCAGACTGAATGGTTGGAGATTGAACAACACTGGGTGAACTGCAGTCAGTTCGAGTAATAGAACAATGAACAGCGAAACTGAGAAATGTTTTAAGAACTAACAAACATATACGAAGAGCGGATAAATAATTATTAATAATTGTACATAATTATTCAGAAATAATAATTATAATTCAAATAATAACAAATTAACAAATAATTAATTCACAAATAAGAGACGTTTATGATCCGTTATTTGAAGACAACAACTCGAAACAAATTCATGTAGTTTGCCATACAGAATAAGAAAAAAAAGAGCTGCATTACTAATAACAAAATAATAATAATTGTAGTTGAGATTTAGCATTGTAAGTTTTTTAGCGTCGAAGTGACCGGACGTGGCCGAACGCTTCATCCGGCTCTGTTGACTTTATTTTATATACAACAGTGTTTTCAAGATTTGTAAATTTGTTATTTTCATAGTGCTAATTTGGTTTTATTCTTTTGATTAATAAATAAAAAAAATAAAAAAATATATTAGGAGTATATCAGTTAAAATCAGTTAAACGTTTTAAACTGACCAATTAAGAAAGTAAACTGAAAATTTTTCCAGCATTTGTGTTGTTTTTATGTGCTCAGTGTTGTTTTCATGTTCAGAGTGGTTTATATGGTCAGTGTTTATATGGTCAGTGTCATTCATGTGGTCAGTTTCGTTCGTGTGGTCAGTGTAGTTCGTGTGGTCGGTGTCGTTTGTGTGGTCAGTGTTGTTTTTGAGGTTGATGATGTAAACATCTACACCACGTGCATATACTCCGCTCCGTCAGATTCATAAAAACAAATGCCGCAGACGCTTGGTGGCATGCATGTCATTATTAGGCTGCAGCGTTTTGTTGAGTGTAGTCATTGACATATTTGCTTTATCCGGACGTTTATTTCTCTCTAATCATCATCATCATCGTCATCATCATCATTATCGTCATCGTCATCATCACCATCATCAACATCGTCATCACCATCATCATCTTCGTCATCTAATTGTTATCATGTTCATCATATTTCAACATCGCATTACATTCATCACCATCATCATCACCATCATCATCACCAACATCATCATCACCATCACCAACATCATCATCACCATCATCATCATCACCAACATCATCATTATCGTCACTAGCTTAATGCAATTATATTTTTAATGAACTTTTTGCAATCATTACCTAAACTATTCATGCTCATTAAAATTGTTTTTACATTCCAAATAATTGCCTTCAAGAAAAACATTACCAACCCAACCTCAATAAACCATCGCTGCGAGAGAAATTAGCCCGAACGTTATCGTGCCGCGGTCCGTCATCTGTCACGATCGCTCTTTAATAGCTTCCATTGTTGTTGTTCCTGTGTCGTTATAATGTTAAAACGTTGCTTGATAACTTCCAACCAACCAACGAAGGTGGCTGTTTGACGGTGTCACGTGCGACCTCTTCAACGCCAACGACGTCCTCTTCTCCACAGCCTCCCTCCTCAACCTATGCTGCATCAGTCTCGATAGGTAAGCATCGTTATCATCATCGCCATCATCGTAATAATCGTCACTATCATCATCAAATTTCATTATCATCACCATCGTCAACGTATTCATTTTATTTTTGACGACAAGGAGTTAAGTTGTTCGAAAGCCCAACATTCAAGTTGTCACATTATTATTTATTCAATTGACTATGTTACAATTAAAAAATTGTTGTACAAACTAACATCATTATTTTTCAATTAAATTTTTTTCACTTTATTATTTGCCTCAATTAAAGTTAGCAAGCAACTAGTTCTAGGTTGAAATACTGGATTCTATCAGGTACATAGCAATAACGGACCCATTCAACTACACGACGAGGCTGAACAAGTGCAGGGTGGTCGTCATCCTGGTCAGTGCCTGGCTGGCCTCTATTCTCGTCTCACATCTGCCCATCCACCTCAAGATATACAGCGCCGATGCGTTCGTACACTCGCCGTTCTTCAAATCGTTCTCGAGCGAGCTGCCCATCAGCCAGGTCAACAACCTCCACTACGAGAACATCATCATCAACAGCAGCAGCAGCAGCAACTACCTGAAGCCAGTCGGCGGCCAGGGAAATAATTCATCGAACGCAATCACGTTTCATGACAGCGACAGTTTTCTGTATGGTGCTATGAACAATATTACAAGCAAAATAAATATTTTCAAATTTAATGAGAGTAATGCACGGAGTGAAGCATTTCCGAAGGTCTGCTGCAATTATTATCGTAGCGATATTAATTTGTACAACATCGTCAACGCGCCACACAACGACAGCAATGTTTACGAAATCAACTTCGACGAGGCCGAGAAAGAGGGCCGCCAACAAAAAATAATAAACGACGACGACGAAGAAGTTATCAACGAAATTTGTTCATTCCAAGTTAACTGGCTCTACGGCATTGTATCTTCCCTCATTTCTTTCTGGATACCCACCATCGTCATGTTGTTCACCTATCAAAAAATTTTCAACGAGGCCAAACGGCAGGTGGAACAAATTGAAAAGTTGAGACCAACAAAAGCACCACCAGCGAGCACTGAAATAATTCAATTGAGGTCCAGAACATTTTCGAACACGAAAGCATTAACAAGCAACACAAAATCTTTGAACAGCAGAGTTGAAAGCTATCAATCAATTGCTGTTAGTAACGAGAACCTCTTTTTGAACAATGCGAGCAGACTACCTCATGCCCATAACGATCACTGCACAGCGAACGACGCTTGTTTGCAGTTACCTCATCATGAACAATCGTACCAGCTTAAACGTGAAAACATCAACAAAACGACAGACAACAATGCAAACGTTGTATTGATTGTTGAGAATTACTCAAACAATCATCAGCAATCAAGTTCGAACATTTCTCTCTCTAGCAACCACCTCACCGTAGACCATGCAGCCCACAAAAACATCAAAATGAACCTCGAAGCAGTACACAGCAACAACAACAACAACAACACTACCCACACCACCACCACCACAACTAACAACAACAGTAACGATCAGTTATCTAAAACCCCAACTCACAAACGAAGCATCACCAACTTATTATCAGCATTCCAGGCTGAAATGAAGAACCAAGCAGCAGCAGCGCTCCAGCAACAAACAAACAACGAAAACAGAAGAATCAAACGAGAACACAAAGCCGCCAAAACACTGGGCATCATAATGGGGGTCTTTCTCGGGTGTTGGCTGCCCTTTTTCATTTGGTACCTCACAGATTCCATCTGTCGAGAACAGTGCAATACTCCAAAAGTATTCATCTCGTTCCTTTTCTGGGTGGGTTACGCCAACTCAGCACTCAATCCATTGATATATGCTTTCTTCAATCGGGAGTTCAGAGGAGCCTTCCGCAAGCAGTTGTGTCACTGCAAACGTGCGTTGACCTGGAGCCGAGCAAAGAAGCCTCATCTCGTAACCGAACTTGCAGCCAGCTATTCAGAAAGACATAATTGGAGCGGTGAAGTTTCGTACAACAAAAAAGATGACATTTAATGCTGTGGAAATTTTTTGGCATAAAAAATATATTTTTAATGGTAAAAAATTTTCTTAAGATATTTTAATGGTTACGAAGACAAAGGTGTATATGTAAGTATTCTTGGTTCGTCATATCTATTTTCGCGATTATTTATTCGTGCGAAACATCTGAGGCATATGTTGATGAATTGATATCTAATGACTGTTTTCTCTGCGGCTAAATGTTTGCATTACAAAGAAAAAAACTTTATAAGTTAGGTAACAGAAATGTTTATCATTTGTTAGTGTCTGTTGTTGTGATATTTAAAGTGACGAGCGAATGGCCATTGCTGTTTGTTATTAAAAAGAATAAGCAACAAAAGTTTGCAGCTCATGTTACAAAACAGTTCGTGATTTGTTGGCACGTTTATAAATTTGGCAATTGCCAATAAAGAAATTTATGTGCCATGCTAACAGAAATCAATTCAAACTGGTTTTTTTACTACTGATCATGAGTTTGTTAGAACTGGTCTGCGTGCATTTGAATGTACCCCCTCTTGCATTGTAACGGTTGGAGTATGATAAGGTACACCTGGTATGGTGTGGTGTCCATAGCAAACAGTTTCGTTGCAGTCAAATCTGTTGAGTAGATTTCATTTCAAGCGTAGAACGATAACAGTAGAAAAGAAGTAAGAGTGTAAAGAAATAAGCAGAAATATGATTTATTAGATCTCTGAATGTTGCACGTGTGTAGCAAAGCAATACCAAAGTTAATCCCGGTTCTCTGACATGATTATGGATGTGGTGCTTATTTTTAAAAAATGTATGTTCGATTCGTGGTCGCCCGTTCTCGTATTGTCCGCTCTCGGAAATTGTTATCCATCAGTTGTTGTGTTGCTGTTGTGATGTTGTTGCGAAGTTGTGTTATTGTTGCGATGTTGTGTTGTTGTTGCCATGTTGTGTTGTTGTGTGTGATATTGTAAAGTTAGGATGCCGTCTTATATCATTGCAATGGAGGCATAATTTTGTGATGTTGTACGTTTGTGTTGGGGTGTCAAAATATTCGAATGTTGTTTGTGGATCGGAGGAGTTCATCATTATTTTTTTAAACATGCTGATCTTATCTCAGATTTTATGTTTCGTTGTAATATTGAAAACTTAGGCATCATTTGCACTTTATTTTTCAAATGAGTTGCTATGAAAATAAAATTTAATTAAATTTGTGTGTTATTTATTTTTTTAACATAAAATCAGAAGATGAATAGATAAAAATTATTAATAATAGTTTAATAATACTTAAAACTGATTAATTTACGAGAATAACAAATAACAGATTACCATAATTCAATAAGTAAACAAATAATTAAATTTATAAACGATGAAATTATAAATTAAAAATACCCAAACGGCAGAGGTAAACAGATGGTGAACATAAAATAAATAAAAAATCCATTAAAGACTCCAAAGTAGCATGTGGATGGTCAGAGATTGACGAAAAAAAAGATTCAAATGAAATAATCAAATTGAAAAAGTAGAGTCTGGCTGAAAATACGTAATTATCCATGGCAAGTGAGAACGTGATTGTCAGTTGAGTGCAATTGGGATAGCGCGGCTTGATTCATGGCGTGGAGTGGATCTCAATGTTCTCTCCTACCTACTCGGCAATCTTTTGTGAGTTTTAGCAATCCCATATCTCAACTTTTCGGACATTTTTCCATCAATTTAATTTTTTTGACTTGATTTATTGATGGCGATTGTGAGGGTGGAGTTAACCGAGTTAGGGTGAAAAGTAATTTTCTCGCTATACAATTTTAGATTTATATTCAATGCGTAGACGAGGATTCAGATTCATGCTTTGAATTTGAATGGTAAAATTCTTATATAGATATGGTGTACACAATTTACGGTAGTTCTGTTTGAAATCAAGGTTCTGGTAAAATATAAAAAATAATTTCATATCATAAAATGTAAAAATAGATCTAGACTCGTTTTTGTTTTTCTTCAACTTTTTTTTCAAAATATTCAACCACATTTGAAAATATTCAACAACATTTTAAAACTTAACAAACAAATAACGAGACGACATTTTCTAAACTTATTTCAAATTTTTCATTAAAAACATTGATTTGAATGAAGGCATCTTGCGGCCTTGACCTTAAACGCAACGAACTCGGGACGGGTCAAGTTTGAAGAAGGTCTGGTAGTCTCTGAAGTTGACCTTAAAAAATTTATGATCAGCGAGGGGTTGAATGTTTGTTCAACCCTGGCGTCGTCCTCTTTTTAAGCCAAGTACGAACACATACAACGAAGAAGAAGATATGTAGACAAATATATACAAAATTAGCAAACATTAAAAAAATATACATACCTAAGCAGAAACTATCTAACATTTAGCGGGAAAAAAGTTAGAAAAGCATATTTGAACGAACGTGAACGAACATTAACTAAACAAAAACGAACTACTGTGAACTAATATAGGCAAACATGAATGAACACAAGCAGGTGAAAACTGCAGACATGAAAAAATACACAAACCAACTTGAAGAAATTTGTAAAAATGAAAAAAAGTTGCTAGTCAGGCAGGCAGGAAGGAAGGAAGGAAGGAAAGAAGGACACATGAAGTGAAATGAAGGGTTGTTTTGCTGGTCAAGAAGATTTTTATGACAGCCCCTAGTAAATTATTTTGCTTGTGCTCGTTGCACGTTATGCCGGGTGCTCTATGTACAAACAGTGTACACAACACAGTACACGATCTGTACTTAAATGTAGAGCTGTGTTCCTTGCAAATGGTTCGTGCAATGTAATAATTATTTCACTGCAATGTAATAAGCTCACCATGGTGCACATTTTCTGCAAAATTCGTTTTTTCTTTTTTTCATAATGTTTTAATTAGTTTTACTTGGTGTTTGCAGTTTGTTCAGTCCGATGAAATTTTTGTTTCTTCCCAGTTTTTTGTGGTGTGTTGATGTGCTTGTTGTACTTTCAACGATTTGTGCTGATGTGTTGGCTTTTAAACAAATTTTGTCGTTAATCGTTCAGTGCGAATTGTTCACTGAAGATGATGAATGTAAACCACCTCATTCAAAATATCTCCATCGAACCATCATTTAAAAACTTTCCTTCGCAGTTTCTTCCAAAGTAAACTAGCATGTCAAACATTTTGTTCATTTATTGTTGCAGGCAGACTGTGCCTTTAAACTAGTTCAATGTGCAACAGTTTTTCAAAAACTCACAACATAACGCTCTCACCCACCTGAGCAACTTTGCCAAAGTGTGATCCGATGGTTGGTAACATCTTACAATATGCTGTGCTGCTAACTAATAGTTGTACTCTTAATATAAATACTTATATGATGAATGTTTATGGTGTGTGAGCTGCTTGTCGTCTAGAATGCCACGCATCAACCGGCCAGCCAGCGTGCATTTGTCAGATGTTGCACCTTGTTTGTTCTGATCTTCTGAATGGAGTTTGTTTTCGAGATCATGTTTCTTATTGATGACACCGTCCAGTTTTGCTTCACATTTTTTTCTCACGTATCATTTCTTATGTTTGAATGATTTTTTTTAATAAATTCTTTTAGCTATTTTTCTTCGATTAGTTAATTTTAATTTTTCAACTTGTTTTGTGAAATAGTTAATCGTTATTATTACAGTTGAAAATGCTGTTCACCACACAAAACATCACTTTTTAACACGTTAGCCAAAGAAATCATCATATTTTAGTACGTTCAGCGTGCACTGGTTTCAATAAAGTTCTCACCTATACTTCAAATCCGTATTCGATAAATTTATTTTTATACCTGCTCAGACACGCCTGCCGATACTAATCATTCATTCACCTCATTTCAATTTCCTACTATGTTTTGTCAAAGTAGGTGCTGGGTCAAACACATACACACGCAAACACACATACAGAGAGAGAGAGAGAGAGAGAGAGAGAGAGAGAGAGAGAGAAAGAGAAAGAGAAAGAGATAGATCGACATGCTTCGATATATTTGATATTCACTCACTTATCAAACATGTTTATTCTATTGAAAAATATATTTAACGTAACATCCTCCAAATTAAAATTCAAATGAAGTTTCATCGTTCGTTATCGAAAAGAAGGACACAACTCGTGAATAAGACGACGATGCATTCATTCGAATCGTGCAATCAGAAGAAGTGTCATCACCACAATGCAGGCTGGCTACGGAGCAGAGGGTTGAGAGAGAGATAAAACATTCGATGGTATGTGACGACGTGCCATTCCAGAGTTTCGCGCGAGACATTAAAAGAAGGAAACATCAATAAATTATACGAGGCTTCATAATTGCATTACCTCCTCGCCGCCCATCTAAATTGTTTCCATCTCTAAAAATCAAATGCTGCTCGTTGCGATACTATCAGGCCGAGGCACCATTGAACGTTGTAATGAGCGAATGTTGGTGAAGTACCTTCTCATCCAACATCTGCTGCTTGCTGGCATGATGATAATATATACTGAAGACTTTTTTTATTATTTCATAAGATTATGTGATTAATTAAATTTGGTAATCGTGGAGTTGAACGTAAAAAATCTAAAAACAGTAGTAGTAGCAGCAGTAGCAGCAGCAGCAGTAGTAGTAGTAGTAGCAGCAGCAGCAGCAGTAGTAGTAGTAGAAGTGGTGGTAGTGGTGGTAGTATAGTGTTATGTCAGTATAATGCAATGGCAATAACCAGAATACAATGTTTTAATGATAATTGTTAATTATGAAGTCGTTAATTGATTAATTAATGATTTGAATTGTAACGAACTGAGTTATTTTAAAAGTGTTAACGTTGATAGCAAAGATCAAAAAAATAAAGTTGGAAACAATTTAAACTTTGTACAATTTGTAATAAATGAAACAAGTTGATAATTTAATGAAAAATTTCATTTCAAATTATTAAAAAATTTTATGCATTTGGTGAATTTTATGATTCTTGAATGTTTTAGCAAACTCGCATCTTTTGAAGATAAATTTTCAAGTTCCAAGCTTTTCCAATGCTTCGCGTTTTCTTCATATAGCAAATAAAATAAATTCGAAATATGCCAGATCGTAAAATTTAATGACGGCCTGAATAAAATTAACCGAAGAACTCGTTAAAAATTGCCCCGCAGAAAGTGACGAACGACGTCCGATGAAGACATGCGATGAGATGTCCCGCATTGTATTGCATTGTACGTACGTGTGGAACGCTGGCGTGTGTCTGCCAAGATGGAGAAGGTGTAAATGAGTCTCTGCCGATTGATCGCTTGCAAACGAATGATTAATTGCAAGTACAATCATTGTTAAACGATGGACTGCTAATGATTGGATTAAATAGCTCTTTATTTACTTTTCTTTACACTTCTTAATGTAATAGCATTTCAGAACATATAATTAATAGTGATAATTGTTTATCACTGTTTATTATTAACCAAAACAACAGAAATTTAACAATAATTGATATTGATAAATGGAAATAAACTTTTTTGCTTTTCCAAACGTCTGAGTGGCTACACAACACGCACGCACGTATCTTATCAATCTTCAAACTTCAAAATTTTCAATCCAGCAAACATCTCTTTTTGATTTATGTTCTTGGATGATATAATTGGTTTTGAATTATTTAATTGAACTTTCAAGCTTTTGTTCTTACTTAATTAGTGTATCAATTTTTTAAAAATCCTGTCGTAATTACGATAAAATCTTCTGAACGAGTTGGCAGGAGTTACGTCTTACGTGCAGTCAGTCGGTGAAGTGCAACTTTTGAACAAACACGTGGCGTATTCAAACAATGTTGTTGTTCTCATTTTGAGGCACGTAAACCAAACTGTTCTTGTTTTGAAAGACGGAACTTATGCATATGCAATGTCGCGAAGCACCAACCTACATGTAGTGCTACTAAAAAATGCTGATAACATAAAAAAACAACAAGCTTAAAAATGCTTAGTGTTATAAAATGAATAAACTAAACTGATTAAAGAGTTTTCAATGAAAGCAAAAAATTCAACAAACATGAAAAAAGTGCTGGTTTGAGAAAAGTAAAAAATTAACATGCGCATCAACATTTTTTGAATAGATGCTCTCAGAAACGATCCCTATCCACTCCCACGGCACTTCCAGGAAAGCCACTGCAGACAGCAGACACCATGCAATCCATCGTGCCCTCAACCTATCAATATCTTGTACGCACACACACACACACACACACACACACCTGTTCCGCACAACGTAAATACGAAGACAGCATACATAGGAACACAACACAAACACGAATAAAAACACAGGCCACATAACCTCCAGCAAACACGATATAGGTCAGCTTAGATGGACCCCTACCAAGTTTACTACCTCAGATGCAACACTTCTTCATCATCGAACGTGATGGAAAACTAAATGTCTCGTAAAACATTCATCTCCTTAAACAACTTCAAACTAGAAGTAAAAAATACTTAATAATGAAAATCATAAATTCCAATATAATTATTATTTTAACATTGCATTCAGCTAGAAAACCAAGCAACGTTCTGCGGAAAATCCTTCAGGGCAGAGTGAGATAGAAATATTAGAACAATTTTTTGTCGGAAGAATTTATCAATTCTGTGGAAGAGCTCTGCGTTGTCTGCTGTGAGTTGTGGATTGTTCGTTCGTTTGCTTGCCGTTCTGAGGGCTGTTAGTGGATGTCAAATATTATAATGAATGAAATTGATTTGATATATTTATAAAAAAATTGAAATAAACACCATTTTATTTTTTTAGTTTATTTTTTCAAATTAATAATGTTAAAATCAATATTGGTTATAATTTATTTTGACAAAAAAATGAAAATTTTAATAAACTTGATAGCATTAGAATGACATATTTCTAATTTTTATAATTTCAAACAGTTCTAAACTGTAAATGTACACAAGAAATGTTTTGCTAACCCATTCAATCAATCAAAAATAATTTGGCTTCATGTTTCAGAGTTTGACAGTGCTGGAAAATAACGTATCAAACAAATAGTTGAAAGAATGTTTTAATCATTAAAATATATCGATCATTGATCAGATAGTGTCGAGTAATTTACTTGATTTTGTTGGTTTGAATGTCTGAAATATCTAAGATGAAAAATAATCAACTTTTATTATTTTTCTTTTCTGTGTTGGTTGTTTCAGAAGAAAAGTTGAAGCATAAGGAGTTACACCGTGCCTTGGATATGTGATTTATGTTCTATCTTGTGCTATGTTACATAAAGTTATGTTATGTTTGGTTAGGTTAGGGTTAGTTTATATTACTTTATTTTACATTCTAAATGCGTTGAATAGTTGAGATTTTAATTTAACGAAAACTGCGAAATTCATCAAAACCTTGAAGATCTCACACCGGCAGCAAGTGTCTTTCCCGGATGATGAAATATTTCAAGTGCGATCAACTTCTTGGACTTGTATCTATCTCTATCCTATTTTTCAATCTCAACTGTTCTGCTAAAATAATTATTATAATGTCGTGTAAAAAGTGAAATGATTAATTATTTCCAACTGATATAGCGCCGAGCAATGCATAAGTCACAATCCGCATTGCGTGTCATTGCATGCTCTCACTGAATGAACTGCCAGCATTTGCGTTATGTACTCTAATAAAATTGCTATTAAAAGGTTTGTTTCAAATTCATAATCACCTACACGCACAAATAGACGCGTGCGTACGTACGTGTTGGTGCGTGTTTGGTGTTTGTGTGTATGTTTGTGTGTCTGTGGGTAAGGTCTGTGTCTCTTCGTGTTTACGTTACTTTATTCCATTCCATCCATTCACCCATCAACCTTAATCAATTATTTAATTTCGTTTTTCATCATTTTGTTTTTCACTATTTAATTCGTGGCATGCATACAATTTTTTTTAAACTTAGCTGTCGTTTCATTATATTTTTGATTGTATATTTATTTAGGTATTCTGACTCATTTGTTTATTCATTTATTACGTATTCACTTACTCATTCACTCACTCACTCACTCATTCACTCACTCACTTGAATATTTTTCTTTTTAAATATCCTGGTGGTTTTTGAAGTTTGCCCGCATGCACCGCCTTTAGGAAATGCAAAAGAAATTATTACTTCCACAGCTCTGGCCGGTCTCAATTGAAATGGAAACATTTAAACTTGCTGAAAAAGCAGCTACACACCGGCACGGCTTACATTAAAGACTTGATTTATGCTCCGCTAGATTAGTCTTGTTACTTTCTTCAAAAAATTTTTAAACTCTTGAATAATTAAATCGCCTAACCTATTTCAACTACTTTCTTCATTGAAGAAAATGTTATTTTTCAAAATGTTTTAAACCCTTTACTTGACAAAATTAACGCTAGATAACAAAAACGTGGTTATGAAATTAAACTTTCATTCATGGCAAGAGGCAGAAGAGCAAGGAGGACGGCAATCACGGTTTTAATCAGAGCAGAGAAGATGATTAATAGCCGCTTTAGAAGGGCGCTCGTGTATTCACACGCCTCATGATTTCATGTCTTCATACGCTTCACGTCTCCTGTCGTTGCTGAAGCTGCCAGTCCAATGGCGGGAACATTAAACCAAAGTCTGAATAATGATTGTGCAGATTGCTGTTGATAACTTTAAAAAACTCCGTGAGGTTGAACGAAGGGACGATGGTGAAGGTGACGATGATGGTGGTGAGGGTGATGGTGAAGGTAACGTTGATGTTACAAACTTAATGGTAAATGTATTTACCATTAAGTTGATGAAAACCAATTGAATTAATTTCAAAATCAACTTTTAATTATTTTAAGAATTATTATTATATAAAACTATATATATATCACTATAAAATAGATATATTCATATGCAGATGGAAAAGTATCATATTACGTAAAGTTTATTTATGCAATGCTAATTAGCTTCAAATTCGGTCTGTCTTCCAATCAATTTATTTCGTTTTGATTTTCCTAAAAAGATAATTATTTATTTGTATTATTTCATTCAACCTAATTCCAAAAACTATTATATAATGGTTTTTTATTATACAAGGCAACCAGCATATAGAGCAACATTCAAATTCAAACACGAGGAACAACTCATTCACTCACCAGAGAAAAAAAAGATAAACATTATTTTATGGCTGTTCTTTCCTTAGTTTGTATTCGAACCACCTACCTTGTCGTTCCATCTGATGGCCAGCGCTCTTCTTCCATCTCTCATTTCTTGCGAGTATTTGATCTGCTGCTTCCGGCGAGACTCTGGCGTTATCGTCTCTTCGATTACTAAGATTATCTTGGCCCACTGTTTGTTTTCAGACATCAATCAACCATCAATCATCAACCATCAACTATCAACAATTGCATTCTTTCTTTTTATCACTTGCACAAACATAAATTATTGTGAAAATTAAAAAATATCTTTCTTGATCTTTTTTATAATTTTTATAGCGTAATTAAAACTTTTTTTTTAAAGTTTATTTCAACTAATGAATGAACGTGCAGAATTTCAACGAAAATTAAGAAAACAAATAATTTGTTCAGTGCATGTTTGTGTCGTGAGCGATTCAACAGGCGGCACTGCCCTACATGGCAGAAGAACAGAATGCAGCTGATTCCCGATCGAATTCACTTTAACCCTAAAACTACCAATGGAATCCATTGGACCCCACAAAGGTATTTAAAATGATATATCTACTTTAATAATTTAAAATGATATATCTACTTTAATAATTTTTTTAGTTTTTTCAGCTTTTGTGACTTTTATTTATTAGTTTCAATGTACGTAAAAAGATAAACAAAAATCTAAAATATTCCATCCAGATAAACTCGAAATTTGAATTCTAGCATCAATTACCAGTGGGGTCTAATGGACCCCAAGAGCAATATTATAGCCTCAATTATTGAACAAAGTCAGTATTTGGACTAATCAAGAAAGGCATTTAGTCTACAAAGACAAATGCAATCATATAGATATTGCTGAGCTCAAAACAATTTATTGGAATTTTGATTTTGATTGGTGTATACAAATCAAAAAACGAGACAGTCACTCAACTCTGGAGCTTGACAGATGGTAGACCCATTTTCAATAGAAGAATGCCAAGAAACAGATTTCAGGAAATTTTGAGAGTCATGAGGTTTGATAATGCATACTCACGTAGAAAACAAAGATGCCCAGATAAATTACAACCTATAAGAGAAGCGTTTGATTTATGGAACTCTAGTTTGAAGGATGCATATAAGTTAGGTTCATGTGTGACCGTGGATGAGCAGCTGGTATCATTCCGAGGCAGATGTCCATTTCGACAATATATTCCTTTAAAACCAGGAAATATGGCATTAAATTTTGGCTGCTGTGTGATAGTAGCTCTAATTATGTTCGGAAAAGCCAGGTGGAGTTAGAGTAGTTTTTGGTTTGGTTGAAGGTTTGCAGTGTTCAGGGAGAAATGTAACATGTGACAATTTTTTACTAGCTTGCCTCTAGCTGAAAAAATAATAAAAAATCAGTTAACATTATTTGGTACTGTTAGAAAAAATAAACCTGGGTTGCCAGAAAGTTTTACTACTGCAAAAAAAGGGAAATACTAACAATAATTTAACAATTGTATCTTATGTAGCCAGAAAAAAATAAAGCTGTTGTGTTGCTGAGCACCATGCATCATCAACCTGATGTTGACACAAACCATAAGAAAAAGAAACCAGAAATAATAAATTTCTATAACTCAACAAAATCTGGTGTTGATACTATGGACCAGATGACCATAAGATACAGTGTGAAGAGAATGACAAGAAGGTGACCTCTTATTGTTTTCTACAATATGATCGATATTAGTGCTCTCAACGCCTACATCATTTGGAATGATTTTACCGACACAGAGAAAGTAAACGGAAGAGAATTTTCAATAAATTTATGCAATTAACTTGGCCATCAAGATTTAATATCCGAAAAGTTATTTCCATCAGTAAAACCACCAACTAGAAGAAGAGGTTATTTGTGTGATAGGAAGAAAGACAAAAACCAAAACTTGCCGTCTATTTGTAAAAAAAATGTTTGTGATGAACATTTGTTAAAAATTTGCAAAAACTGTCGTAAGTAAAAATTAATTGACTTTGATAAAATTTGTTTTCTAGAAGTTTGTTGAAAATTTGTACTAATAAGTTAATAAGAAAAATAATAAATAAGTTAAGAAAAATAATTTACACACATATCTGTTTCAGTTTTTCAATGTAAAAATACCATTGGGTCCATTCAACCCCAATGGTGTTTAATGCTATTTAAAAAAGCTGGTATTTCCGGATTTGAAATAATTTTCAGGCTCGTTTCGTGGCCCGCACTGAGCCAAATATCATTCATTATTTATTATATTCATTTTTTCCAACCAAAATTTATTTCACGAAAATGATGTTTTTTGTTTTAAAAGGTGAATATTTAAAAAATTTTTAATTATAAGAGCTAAAATTGTCTAAAGAAAATAATTTAACGTATAAATTCCACCAATTCAGATGGCTTTTATAGTTTTAATTTGAATTGAAAAAAAATTATTTTCGAGCAAATATTTTTTCTGTCTGTTGCTGGGAATTTGTATTTTAAAAGTTTAATTAACCTTTTTATTACATGAAAAATTATATTTCGCCAGGAAAAAAACATTCCATTTTTGAACCTATTATAAAAACACACAACGTTGGAAACTGGCCATGATGCTTTCAATGTACTTTTGATTTAAAATGTACTTATAGCTCCAATTCATTGCAGATAAAATTATTTTAGTGCTAATAAAGTGCGTTCGAATTGCAAGAGACTTCACCAGGGAACGAAAACAAATTGATGAGTTTTGTTGGTATCGCTATATATTTCATAAATTTTTAATTCTGATTAAGATTAATTCATAAAGTATTTATTTAAAACTACGTAGAAAAAGATGGTATCATTAATCAAAAACTTTAAAATAATCAACTGAATTTTTTAACAATTGAATTAAAACATTTATCATTTCGGTCTCATCAAAAGAACAATCCAAGCCTTTTATGGCCACCATGTACAATCAGTTCATTGCATTTATGACTATTCAATATTCCACTGGATTGAAATTTCACTTGTGACTCACAAAAGAAGAAATGAAAAAGCATTGCAAGCAGCCAACCAGTGACCATCTCTCATAATCTAATGTTCATATATGGCTTACGTAACTACTCGACTCTCTGAAACACTCCAATTGTTAGTTTTTATTTCTAGTTTGAGCATGTCAGAAAAAATAAAACATAAATTTAAATATTCATTTTAGATGCTATATCTAAATTTTGGCTTGTTTAACTATCTTTTAGACGCCAACCATTATATAGGCAATGTTCTGCAAGGCTTATTTTGAGATTATTATCAGACAAACTCAAACTCAGTGGAATTTAATTATTTTTTTTTGCGGCACCTGTCGTGCATTTACTATGAATTTAAAACATTTCAAAAAAATGTTTCTACCTAAATCGTAATTTTTACTCTTGTTGTTTTGTGGAAAAAATATGCCAACTCATTCGATACAAGATAAATTATTTTAAAATATTGACCACAAAGTTCATTGTAATTAATTAATTTTTGTTTTTTTTATTAATTTTCATTTAAAATCATCAAGTTTCCAGTAAAAAAAAATTTTTGCTAGGTTTTAAAACTTAGAAATTGAAATGAAAATATTGTTATTCAAAAAAACATTTTAAAAATAAAAATTAAACTATCGACATTTTTATATGAAAGCTTAAATTGGATGAAATGATATTAATTAACTTCTACACGCTTCTAATCTGTTCGATTAACTTGCCAAAGGTTTGAAAAAAAATTAAAAAGTTTACTTACTTAAAAGAAGTTTAATGTAAGTACAATTAAAATTAAATTTTTTCTCAAAAGGAAGTTTCTCATTGAAACATAATTGGAATGAAATGAGAATTAATCGTGAAATAACTAACAAATGGGGAGAAAAATTTGAAAGAAGTTTTATGAAGGTTTTGTTTTTAATGAACTAATTAAAATATTTTATACTGTTTGAAGATGTTAAGTTGGTGATGTTAGTGAGGGGTTTGCGATGGATTAAAAATTTATTCAATTGCTACAAGTTTTTCGCAATAAAATGATTTGCTAGGAAGCGCAAAGATAGAACGGTACAACGGTACTTTCCGTTCAGACCTAAGTAGAAGTTGCATCTTAAAGCAAAATGTAGTTTTAACGTTTTACTTAGATATTTTTGTAAATTTTAAGAACTCCCATTTGTTACAACAAAGTCATGTAGGTCGGCACCATCCCAGAACTTGTTTCTGAGTTTGCTGCATAAACTTTATAATTTTAGAAAAATTTCGAAAAATCATCTGGCGTTGTTCCCCAGTTTATTATTGTGTTGAAATTTTTTTGTGGTTGCAATAATTAAAATTTCCATCACTGAGGTTATAGTCCGTTGGTTATGTGCCAATCTTACCGAATAGATATCCATGTTTGACAAAAGCAACATGGCCAATAATGAAAAAATGCTGAACAAATGCCTCGCTACGATGCAGGATCATACTACATAAATAACAGACCTGTCTCATCCATTCCCTCTGCGATTGGTTGACACAATCGTACGTGTGTCCCATCATGGCCACCAACATGTTGATGAGTAGCAGTGCCACCAGGATCATGAACACTATGAATATCACCTGATTCCATTCATTCAAAAAGTGCTCAAAGCGAGAAATTTTTGCATTTCGTGGTGAAACAATCTCATGGCAGAAAATTTGAAATTCATTCGATAGTTAGAGGTAAACAATTACCTTTCAAAATATAACCCACGCATTAGTATAACAAAATAAAATAAAAATATCAAAATTCTTTTATATAAAAAAATTGTTGAAGTTAAAACTTTTAAAAATTCCATGACAAAAGATTTAAAAAAATATGAAATACTTGTAAAGTGTAGATATGACCATAAGCTTCCTGTGAAGTTAATTAATATAATTCAGATAAATCTAATGTTTGAAATCATACTGCAAAAATGCATAAGATGGAAACGCCAGCGATGAAACAATGAAGAAACCTTTGGGTTCGTCTCCAGCATGATCGTCGTCACATTCGTCTCGAACTTTGAATACATTTCGGCAAAGGCTCCTGCGAATTTTCATCACTGCTTGCTTCACGTTGTTAATTATTTCAAATGTTTCGATCAATAAATCATCATATCATTATTACTTAACGATGATTCATCATTTCATTCATCATTCTGAAATTTTAACACAACTTACTTGTTTTATATAAAGTGGGTTTAAATTTAATTTTGATACTTGCTAAGTAAGCTACAATAGAATAATTTGAAATAATTTTGAAAATTTTCAGATAAAAAAAAATATTTTAGAAGTAATTATGAAATAATTTCAGTACGATTACCAACCAATAGACATGCGAAACATTCCAACTATGGATTCCAGAGGGGCAGAAAAGGCAGGATTATCGTAGCCCCGGAACATTATGAACATCGCTGCAACGTATACACTCACCGATCCATTTTAAATATTTTACACATTTACTTTTAATTGGCGCTATATGAATTTTTATGATAACAACAACAGCAGAATTATATCAATACTGCTATAGTCAAACAATATATATTTATATATATATATATATATACATATATGTATACATATATTTATATATATGTATATATATATGTATATATATATATAAATATATATATATACATATATATATATACATATATATATATATATATATATGTATATATATATATATATATATCTTATATATATCTATATATACATATATATATATACATATATTTATATATATGTATATATATATATGTATATATATATATAATTGTTATTATTATTTTTATTATCATCTAAAGAAGTTCATTTGAGGTAATAAAACAAAATGAGGTACATATAATATCTCCGTGGCTAACATTGTGAGAATCCAACGAGAAGGATGAGGTAGATGGAGAAGAAACGCAAGAGGTCCTTCCTGATCATCCAGTAGATCATCACCACAAACTGACCAACTATCTTGGAGCCTCTTGTTCAATCAATCAATCAATCAACCAACCAATCAATCAATCAACCAGCCAACCAACCAACCAACCAACCAACCAACCAACCAACCAATCAATCAATTCATCCATTCATCAATCAACCTATCAAATCATCCTATCATTTATTTGTCCATTCATTCAATTCTTAATTTATTCATTTGTTCAGTAATTTGTTTATATATTCATTCAATTGTTTTTTTTTCATTCATTTGTTCGTTCATTTTTTCGTTTTTATTCATTCATTTGTCTACTCATTCATAGTTGACATAGTGCAACTCGTCACATTTATCATGTAAAATATTGGCTTTTTTGAGTAATTTATTGAACGAATAATATTATTATAAAATTATATAGGCAAGAATAACAACAATAACACCACCAACAACAGCATCAGCAACAACAGCAACAACAATTGCAACAACAACAAACAGCAACAACACAACAACAACAGTAAAACAACAAAAACAACAGAAACAACAATAATAACAACATTACTAATAAAAATAACGTTAACAATAATAATAATAATAATTGTTGTTATAGTGATAATAATAGTATAATGATAACCATTTTACGTAACAACCCTTTTATTTGTATTAAATATATCTAATATTATGAAAATTACTATAATTTATGATTCACTATTATTATTATTTTTATTATTATTATTGTTATTGTTATTACTATTACTTAAGATGTAACGTTTGTTATTTTTACTATTATTTGAGATTCATTCTTCATAACATTCATTCATCTATGGACCAAATTAAAAACCTGGCTTACAAAAGTACAGCCGATTTTTGCATGATGTAGCTAAGGATCAACAAAAACATCAACAAAAACTATAGCAAAGTATAGGGTTGAAGATATGAAATTGAGAATACAGGTTTGAAAATAACAAAAATAAAATAACAAAAAATAAAAAGAAATAAAAAAATAAAAACAACAAAAAAAAACAACAAATAAAAAAATAATATATCAAACGATGTAAAGTTGATACCTGCAAAAGAACAAGAAGTATGGCCCTGTGGAGAGTAAGGCAAGGACAGCCATGCAATCTGTCGCTCTGTAGGAGCATGCCCCAGTGAAGGGAACCATGGCGATGATGATCATGTTCGAGAGGAGAAACAGTGTCTTCGTTGGTGATGTTTTCTGGGTAGGTTTCGTTTGAGGAGTAGGTTCAGTTAGTTAGTATTGTATCTTTGGATAAATGGTCAAAAGACGTTTTACCTTTGAATCGTTCAAGTTAATTAAAATTGTAGATTTTACCGCATCTTCTGATTTACATTAACAGAAGAATGAAATGTACCTGAGATGTAAAAAAGTTTTTGCATCCCTGGAAGTGCAACTCCCTCAGAGCAAAAATGATGTAGATGAGAGATCCTATCACAGTCAGAACTTCAAACACCAGCCTGGCCTATTAAAGAATGGTCATTCAAAAACTTATTTCCGCAATGAATCAAAATAAAAATATATCTTTAACAATGTCAACGGAAGATTGAATTTGAATCTGATAGCACGGATCGACGTAATGGATTGTAACCATACGCATTGCCTTCTCGTCAACTCCTCCTTCATATTCCATCGCCAGGTAACTCTGTGTGGTTCAACGTGATGAACCCAGTCAAACGTATGACGTTTGCAAATCTAACTGCTAATAATCAACAGATTAGAAACGAAAAGTTTATTAGTATCTATCGAACATCCAGCTTGTTTAAATGACAAAAGGAGACATCAACCCTCCTACTCGTTACCTCGTTTTCATAATCTGAGTGATATTTAGAGATCTGTGAGCTGTTGGATTTGATGGGAGAAGACGGGATGACGGTGCCTGGTCTCAGGGAGAATGCAACAGTAGCCACCGTGAAATACAACAAGAAAAATATCAGACGACGGAAAAATCTTTGAAAAAATATTTGTGGTACATTTGAAATCCTAAATAAAAAAACCTCAAAAAGTAGCAGTAACTGAAAATAATTAAACACTTTACAGGCAGGCATACATCTTTCTGTAAGTCAAACTGAGACGACATGATTTGGTCACCTAGCTTTAGCAAATGTTTTCCATTTTTCGTTCAGCAATTGTTCCAATGCTCCGTTTATCATATCCAGATGTTCTGGTTTTTTCTTTATAGAAATTAATACCGCTCTATCATTCATTTTTCGTTTAAAACATGGGGCAACTAATAAATTAATTGTATCTAAATAATAATAATTAATTGCGAATATTTCAAAAAAATCAGAAAATAAAAAATGATCAGGCAAACAAAATTCTAGTAACCCCAAACACGACCAAGTAGAGGACCGACTTGCTGTTGATGTGGCCAGTCTCTGAGATGCTGTCGACGTGATCCAGTGGGTAGCCAGCACAAGTCACGTTGCCGTAAGTCCAGTACACTTCTCTGTCAGTCTGCATGATGTGCTGGTACATCTGAGAGGTCAGATTAGATGTGGTGAGATTTTTTTTTAATGGAAAATGGTGTAATTTGTGGTGGTGCGAATAATTTAACGTACTGCTATGTTCCCAGCTATAACTTTCAGTGCCATTCTTGGGTTTGTGTCATTTTTAAACAATTAGGCTATCAAAAATACATAAAATTATTGTATAGAATGACAGTTTATCTTAAATGACAGTTTAAAAATAGTGCTTTTAGTGTAGAACAGGGCTTGAAAACAGACCTCGATGTGACCCAACTTAGCAGCCAATGTAAGAGGAGTGAGGCCTTGTTTGTTCTTCAGGTTTATGTTGGCGTGCATGCTAACAAGCAAGTCATACATGTCCTGCATAATTTCACGATGATCTTAATTACACAGTGTCCTAATTTGTTAGTATTGAAATGTAAGTTTACTTTGGGTCCGATGTAGCTCTGCGGTGATTGTACAAAACCAATGTTATTTACAAAAGTCTTCAATTAGTTGAAAAATAATTTAAGCTGTTTCATTATTTATTTATTTTAATGAAAAAAGTTTACTATTAAAATAGATATTGAACCGTACCAACATACATTTGAAATTTCAACGTGTTTCGTCATCTGGAAAGTTATAATAGTTATAAATTCATCGTGATTTATAAAAAATCAGTACTAATTAATGTAATTTTTTGAGCTAACGAAGCTAAACGTATACCAATGATGTATTATTTGAAAATTAATTTTCAGCAACTCAAACAAACATGAAAAATTATTTTTTAAATAAAATTTTGTTGAACGTTTAAATCAACAAACGAATAAAAAAATGGATTATGCGTTAAAACCAGAGAATAAAACAATTTAAGATGAAAACTTGCAAATTTGCAGAGTATGAACAAGGTGCAAATGTAAAACAATTGCCGAAGAATATTAAGTTAACCTTATAGTAATGAATAACGACAATGTGCAGCGCTGTGTTTCCAAAGGAATCTTGTTTGTTCACATCAGCTCCCTTCGCCACGAGTAGGCGGACACATTCTTCCTGGCCCAGACAAACTGCAAAACACAATGGATATTCGCCCCAATACGTATGCCTGTTGTTACGGATATGATTATTTTTTGAAAGTTGAATGATTGCTCGCAAAATTTCTCATTTGTGTCTCAACAAACATTTATTTTTTGAAATCTCACAAAATTTTTGTCTTTTAATTTGTTCGCATAACTAGTCAACAAAAAATAGGATGGAAGTACAGCTCATCTTTCCACTAACCCGTCATAATTTGTTATCAGATTATCATCGGCTGACTGACTCTTTCTTTTCTTTTTGTTCTTTCCACGAGCGGAAGTTACGTTGCATTTGCAAGTTCCATCAATGCTGTCCTCATCACAGCTCTCATCCTGCCAACTTTCGCTTGCCACGCAGGAACCTTTGACGTCGTCGGGCAAGAAGAAGGTTCCTGAACATCGCTGGTGCATGTCCGATCCTCTGTCTAGCAGGTACTTCACCATGGCCGGGTCCTCGTTCACTATCGCCATGTGCAGCACACTTTCTCCTTACAAAACAACAAACACATATGAAAGGAATCTCATTTGAAAATACTATAAGTTCAAAAACACAATTTCAATTGAACGCTAATTACAACTTATTAAAAATGATGAAAAAAATTTAAAAAGAAATGAACAAACTGATTGCTATCAATAGTTAAACAGAGTTTAATATGCGATAATTGGCTTCATATCAATATTGTTGAAAAATTTAACAAAAACCATTTTAAAACCAGATTTTAAAATTACTCCAGAGCAGTTGAAATTCTGGTTGCTGGGATCTTGATTGCTAAAGAGGATTAAATGAATAACTTAGACATGGCCAACCTTCTGGCCAAAAACTTGGTCCGACTCACCTAAGAAACCTTTTCGGCCAGCGGTTACTTTTTCAATAATTTCTAAAAAAATCCATTACAGAAAAGAAATAAAATGAATGGTTATGTTTCATCAAAATGAAATGCAATTATTTGTATAATATGATAGAAATAATAGAAAGGAATGATAACGTCAGAGACAGTAGCGGATCTACCATAAGCCCGGGGGGCAAGTCGCCCCTCCCCCCGCGCGGTCTACTTAGTTTCTCTGACTCAGATAAACTAAGAATTTCACTTTTGTCTGGAATTAATTCAATACTTCATTAAGTTTTCAAATTTACAGAACATTAGAATTAAATAATAATTAAATAATAAAATAGAAATTAAAGTAAAAATAAAAAAGTATAAAAATAAAAGTTTAGAATTCTTCCACACGTTGTCCAACGATGACAAAGTTGTAAAAAAAATGGTTAAAGAACTTAGCAGTTAACAGGTAGAATTTTTACACCCAAAAAGAAGAACCTAACAATCGATATTTTGGACGTTGCAAGTGTAAAGTTGACTTAATTTGTTTGGAAACAATGTCTGGCTCTTTTTTCGCAGTTTAAAATATTTTTGAAAATTTCTAACAAGAAAAAATGAATGGTACTGAATGATTTATTTATTAACCGTAAAACTCATCATTAACGTAAACATCGTTGATGAGATTGGGATAGATGGCCAGCAATCTTTTTGCCAGTTCTGCATGAGTTGGAGTTGCGTTCAGGAAGCAGACGTGCAGTGGTGTCTCCCCCAAGCTGCCTCTTTCGTCCAACCTCCAACACACCTTCTTGTAACTATTGCCTTCTGAACATATATTATTGTCTAACATATTACATCTGATTTAATTCTATCTAAATCTTTTCTAAAATAGTTGGCAAAACTTGTTCACTCAATTTACATTTTTTAAATATCATAACACCAGATACATCAAATCAAAGCAATTTAGAACAAACTTTTGCGGTGTGTTTTCCTTTGTTCGGTTTTCTCATTTCTCGACAGCCCACTCGAACGATGGTTCACCATTCTGTTCTGAACCGCAGAGGATTTGTTAGCACAATCACAAACTTCTGAATTATTTTCAAACGCCAGGTTTTTGTACTGTACGCTATTTTTGTTGTCATTTTTAATTACCCGCTCCACAATGTTTGCCGAATAAATATTGTAATCATTGTCGGCAGCATTAGAAACCGCAGTGACTTCGCTTTCACTAGTCCCAATTTCTTTTTGAATATTTTCCCGATAGCTGATGTACTGATCAAATTCGAGAACGTGGGATAGGAGGCCTATCCTTATTTTGTTGAGGGTTGACGAGCTCACACGGGCTCCTTCGCCGTTCTTGTACACAAATGCTTTCAGCTTTTCTCTTATCAGTGAATCGGCTTTTTCGTAGTTTTTAGTTTTTTTGGCCTAGTTAAAATTTATTTTTGTACTTTTTATTCATGTACTTTTTATTCATTCACTTTTTATTCATGTTCATGTTATGACATTATCAATTTTTAAGTAATTTGTAACTGAAATGCATTTTTAGTTTCAAAGATAGATGGCGCATTGGTAAAAGGCGCTAATTCTGGGTTGAAACGGCAGTGCTCAAGCAGGAAGAATGTTTGCCTTATCAAGCTACTTATCAAACGCGATGTGGGTGATGCGCTAATTTATGCTTATGATTGAAACGTTGATGTGTTCGTGTGCGTGTGCGTGTGCCGTCACCACTGTTGAGCAACACAATGCCATGACTTTACATTAACCATTCATTTCATGATGACAATTTTAGGTTAAATATATTTTATTTTTTTCAACAATTTTTTTTTTGGAAACTGAGTCTGTATAAGTTAATAAAGCTTATTTAACTTTTTTTAGTTTTATTCATTGTTACGGTGATTGTGTACGACTGTTAATGTACAATCATCGTTAACAATTTGGATAGCCTATTTTGAAGAAAAACAGTTAGGAAAATATTGTCAACTCAACTGATGAAAATTTAAAAAAATGAATTCCATGAATTTAAATTTTTTGAAAAGGTATTTGACAAACTTCTTTCATGATTTCAATAAGCTGTCCACCGCCTTTGACGTCTGCCAGCTGGTAGATGACCACTTGACCTGAGCCGCCAGTTGCTTGCTGCTTAACTGCATCGGATACGTTGCTGCTCAACTTGTTTCCCATTCTATGTCGGGACACAATATGAAAATTAAAAACGGAAATTTCCATTATAGGTTGGAATGATTCTCTTAAAATAATCATCCTTTGAGAGTTGTCATGGCGAAACAACAACAATATGACCGCAAGTAAGAACTCTTGTCGATGAGAACACTTCACATCAACTACTTGAGGACATAATTAAAACAGGTAGCTGCAAAATATTTATTATTAGCTTGAAAAAAAATGCAGAAACAAAAATTGTTTAAAATTAACATTTTTAAATATGAAAAAACAGATGTTTGAAAGTTTCTTTACAATCAAAGCGCTGAGTTATTATTATTTTCATAATAAATATTATTATTTCTTCTTATATCTTCTTAATAATAATATTATTATTATTTATATATCGCGATTTTTTTTTGGTTCTGATACGTTAACTACATCAATCTGGTAAATCATAGTGTCCTACAAAATATTTTCCGTCTCTTCATTTAAAATTGATGGCTAAAAAAAGAGAGTTTTCAGAAATGATTGACCTGAACAGAACCTGACCCGACGCATCTGGAATGGGTATGAAGATTGACGAATGAGGAAAAAAGGCAGATACGAGCAATTTCTTTCAAAGCTAACCCTTGACAGCAAACCATTTTATATCGATATAAAATGGCCAGCTTAGACACCCGGACGCAATTTCTGATTTTAAGGAACGTCACACAAAATTAAACAACTATTGATTAAACAATTAAATTATAATTATAAATCTGTTTTTAACGAACTGAACACTACGTCACAATGTAATACTGAACAATAAGTAAATTCATCAAATATCAGTTGGGTTTCGAGCTTAATACTAACAATGTTTTGCTGAATTGGACGAAAACAACCTGGATACTTCAATTGTGAAAACGGTAAAAAAAGCCGTTCTCAGTAAATTGCCAGCAGTTTGTATAAGTGCCTATCAATTTTTTTTCAAACCATGAAAATCGAGCGTGTGAGACCATGAAAAAGGACAGAGCGTCAAGACGTGCCCAGGACCCCAATAAAACGTGTTCGACGAACTGAAACTCTTGAAATTAATATTTCAACACTTATAATTTTAAATTTATTTTAAATTGTCACTGGTTAATTTTAATAGGTCTAATCAATTTGGTTATGTGCTGATTTTATTTCACTAGGTTCTTGTGCTCACTCGTACCGAATGACTGGCTTTGTTGGCTCATTGCAAATTTACATTGTATTTCATTATTGTGCTCAGATTTTTTATTTTATGTTTGTTTTATTAAAGACCTAAAAATGTTCTCGTTATAAATGTTCTCATTATTAAGTTGGACTTAAGTTAAACTAACATCCTCCAATTATTTTTTTTTTTCTCGACGTGAAATTGTTTGTGAAAATTTTCCGGTGGCATTAATTTATGTAACAAAATTTAAAACGTAGAGAGTTGTGACGTTCTACTAATAAAGAGAAATAAATGTAACCTGGGCCTTGTTGAATATCTTGTCTAAAACAGTATCAGAATTTTTTCATGAATCTTGATTAGCAATTTAATTTTAGATGAATTTAAGGAAACTAAATTGTTCCGAAAGAACTGCACTGCGGAGATCACGTGTGGCATGATGTACTTGCCTCAAAAGTTGTCAGCGTCATGAAGCATGTCTAAATAAAATCTCACAACAAACCGAACTTGCAGTTTAATGACAATGAAGCAACGACATGAACATGAAGACATTAATGACATCAGCACGGAAGCAGTACAACAACGATAGATGGAATATATAGAACAAGTCTGCAAGCTAATAAAGTTAAATTAATGAATTAAATAACTTAATAGTTTCAACAAAACAACAAAGAATAACACAATAATGAAATCGAAACGCTGACTTGCCAAATAACGTAATCAAAGCATTTGTGATTTCATTGCAGAATTTCATGTTAAAACAGAAAGTATCAAATTGTTCTCGAAACAGAACGTATCAATTCATCATAGTCGGACGTTGTGTTGTTTATGCATAAATGGAAACTATTTGAAAGTAAAAAAATTACTAGCACGTTAAAAAGAAACATCAGCAAGTGATCCCATAGAAACAGAGCTGATGCAACGCGATAACTTTTTAGAACGAGAGACATCTCAATCAGACACTTGTGCACATGAACGTATGTAATATAACATACACATAATATGATAAACGAATTTATACGAGGTGTGTACTAAAATGCCTACGCGTGTTTACGGATGTTAATATACACCTTCATACACATACACAGAAATTTTTGTTCATATATATATATATATATATTATATGTGTGTATATTTGTGTGTGTGTGGTGTCGTGTGTGTATGTGTGTGTGTGTGTGTGTGTGTGTGGTGTGTGTGTGGTGTCGTGTGTGTGTGTGCGTGCGCGCTGTTTTTGTGACTACATTTTGAGATATTTATTGTTTATTGTCACTTGTTTATGAAACATGGGAGACATGTGGTGGCGTATGCAGGTAGAATGCTGTTTGTATTCGGATAAAAAACATGCGACGACAAGTCGTAATTGAAATGTTTTAGTGTTTGTTTAAAATATCAAGAAGTCAATGACGAAAGTTCTTTTTTGTTTGAAATCATGGGCGCTGATGTTGTGGCTGTCGTTGTGCCTGATGTTGCTACTGCCGAAGTTGTGAGTGTTGATGTTGCTAACGTTGTTGTTGTTGCTGATGATGTTGCTGAAGTTTTTGATGTTGATGGTCGTTTGCGTTCGCCATTAGGAGAAGAAAATTTGGAAGAGGATGAAATGACTTTCTTGGTGGATTTCGAAGAAGTTTGGTATTGCTGTTGAATGGATTGTTGTTGAGGTTGTTGGTGTTTTTGTTGTTGCTGCAGCTGTTGTTGTTGTTGATGATGATGATTTTGCTGAGGTTGATGTTGTTCGGGCTGTTTGTGTTGTTGCGGTTGATGTTGTTGCTGAATTTGATTTTGTTGTTGATTCTGTTGATGTTGTTGTTGTTGATGCTGTTGTTGTTGATGATGATGTTGTTGATGTTCAGTTTGATTGTACTGAGTTTTCTGAAATTGTTGCTGAGACTGATGTGGAATATGATGGTTATGTTGCTTTTGAATTGGTGTTTGTGTTTGTTGTAGATGTTGTATTTGATGGTGATTCTGTTCAGTTTGAGGTACGTGGTTTTTCTGGTGAGTTTGTTGGACTTGTTGAAGGGCTGTTCCGTTGTTTTGACCAATCCTGCTTTGTTTATTGGTTGTTGTAGACTCTTTAAGTTTCTGTTGATCACGGCTTTCCACTTGTTGAGATATTTCATGTGCCATAGTTGTTTCATCTGAGTTGAGTATAGTTTCAACAACATGTTGTGCTTTTGAATTAAAGAGATGGGAAAATTTTTGAAGTTGATTTTCTAAGTTTAGTTGATGATTTTGTGTTGTGTGCTGCTTTGTCTGGGGTTCTCTATTTTTTTCTTTTGGTAGATCTTTATCGTGTAATTCACCAGTCCCAACTTTCACAGTGACCGAATTTGCCTCTTTGTTCTCCAATCCATTAGCGAACGCGAACTCAGCGTGGTTTCTGAAGATCTGCTGCAAGTTCGTGCTGTGACTCATTATGATGCGACCGTTCAGAAAAACTTTTTGATCAGTGGGTTTTGACGTTTGGCAGGCAATTGAAGGTTCGTTTTCGTTGTGTTGGTTGTTGTTAGCTGTCGAGAGGGCATCGTAAGATCGTCTGGTGGTGTTTGATGTGGCGACACCTGCCGACGGCCAGTTCTCACAAAAGTGGTCCACTTTTTCGGAGTTATCATTCTGTTATTTTTGTTTCAATAATTCGTAAGTTTTTTTTATGGGAATGTCAAATTTATGAATAATTTTTTTCTCTAAATTTTGAATTCTAAAATGAACCAAACTTTCAAAATATATTAAAATTTTAATTTCATAAAGATTGTTATATTTCTTTACTACTTTAAAATGCCACATTACACACGCATTAAATTGTTTTGTTTGTGCTCTGCAGTGATTTCATTAATTAAATTAATCAACTCAACTCATTCCTATTAAAAAACATGTTACCTCAATATGATCAATATACCATCATGATGACGACGAAACAGTCCCAACTTGCAATAATTACCTCACCAACTGTAGACAGCATCTTCTATGATGACACTAGATGTCACTCATTTAGATCATTTGATGTCACTAGATGTACGCCGACTGAAAAACTTATCCACTTAAAACTTTTTCCTTAACATCACTTTACAAACCCTTGAAGTCAATACATCCAACTCATGGGTCTCGTAGTTAGCATGTCCATCTACTACTCCCACGACTCGGTTCGAATCCTGCAGTTTCTGCAGGTTCATCTGGGTAGCCGACCCGGCCGACCCGGCCAACCCAGCCATCCATCCTTTCGAGGTCGGTGAATGGGTAGACAACGTAAGTTGTCGCATGTTGGCCGGCGAGATGGCTCAGTGGTTCAAATGCGCACTGAGTCAAACACATCTCAATGGCTATCATATACTCAGCGTATATGATGCGGTGCTTGCGCGTGCACATAAATACATGTGTACATCGTGTGAAAAAGATAAACAGCCTTTGTGGCGAAGATGGCTGCTTCAAATCAATGGATAAAGATATGAAGATTATAATAAAAGATATATAAATAATACATCTGTAACATTGTAAGTGGTTCTGCGTATGTCAGAGCTGCAATAATAAAGACTCAAAAAAATTGACCAGTTTGTGGCTGTTGCTGTGTGTCCAATGAGAATTGGTTACTGGTTCAATTTTCTTCACAACTCAATTCTTCCCTATTGACAATATCATTAATCAGTCTGATATCTTCTGCCATCAAGTGCAGATGTATGCATCTCCGTCTATCTGTATTTTCCTCAAATCCTCACTAAATGTACCAGGGACTGGTGTGCCTTAAACTTAGTCATTTCCAAATCATTTGTGTTGAAATCGTTTCAAACATTGTTTTTCGTACAGAACACATTGAGTAATTTGTATGGACTAAATGGGGCACTACCATATGTCTCTAATTTGAATGTCTCCAACTTTAACAAAAGTTTTTTAAATTTCAATACAATTGTACCTTATTTATAAAAATGTTTTCAATACTTTTTAATTTTCAAAGTCTCAATTAAACGCATACTTATCTACTATACTAATCTTATTGCTCAGCACGAACAGAATAAAACCTTCTTAATACACCTACGGCCAAATCATAATTCGCAAATTGCGAGTTTCTTCATGCAACTCCACAAGTTTTGAATAACCCACATTTGAACTTAGAATCAGAAGATCTATGTCGAATTTCAACGTGCAACTGAAATCTTTTCCGCTCAAGATGCAAGCTGTAATTGTGAGGGACACCAAAAAGACTCTTAAGTTAAGTGGCTGTGGCCCAAACAAATGATAACCAAGTTGTATTAAAAATGAACAAAAACAAAAGAAGTCACCAGAATGTCATTGGCTGATGCAGGTCGATGAATTCCCATTTTTATGAGGTCAGAGTTCAAACGTGTATTCTGTTTCAAGGATTTATTTAAAATACAATTACTTAAATGATATTCAAACTTTAAGACTCATGTGCATAATCAACAGTTTTGAATACCGTTTGACAAAATGTTATTTTACAAAAAATAATTAAAGTTTTGTTTCATAAAGTATTCATCTGAACAAAATTTTAAATAAACCTCCATCTTAAGTCTTTTGATTTCTGCAGTGAGTTGGTTGATTGTGTGGTTGTGTTCTGCGTCTCTTAGCTGACTCAGAGTCATGTCTTCATCGTACTGTGAGGCGTTTGAATTTGTATTTCACTTCCAATTATGCAAACTACAAAATGAAAACGTCAAAAATGAATTTGTTGACACGTACACAGAACTTTTGCTATTGGAAAATTCAAGACATTGCATCATTATTTTCATCAAAATATTTAAAATAAATCCGTGCAAACAAATGCAAATGTTTTTTCTCAAATTATATTATTGAACAATGTAAGCTAATTTATCATTACGCTAAACACATCAACAACGACGATTTTACGATCTTTCACTCAGACAACAGAAAATTTTATTTCTTTGACTCTGATGGAGTGATTTATTTTTGTAACCTAGAAAGTGCTAATGGAAAATGTAAAAATTGGTATTCATCGTTAATAACGGGAATGTTATAGAGGATAATGATAACAGGAATTGAAATGAATGTAATGCAAGGCCTGCCTGGGCTTCGAAGTCTGTAAGATTCAGTTGGAGGTCTGATATGAGGGATTGCATTTCCTTTTCCTTTCCTTTGTATTCAACCAGGATCTCCTTCAGTCGAACTATTTCCTTCTCTAATCGCTCAATGTCGTTGTTCTTTATAGCCAACTGAATAAATATTTTATTTTTAAACAGGTTTAATAAATTTAGTAACAATACAACAACAACAACAACAACAACACACGTTTAGACGACATTTTTCCCGAGATCGGGGGTTGCCGTTTGGCTACCTATGATAAAACCGAAATACCCCTCGACGCCATTCTGCCGGATACTGAGGGCCATTGTCACTTCTGTCATCATAAATAATTTATTTGGCTAATTTTTACGCAGGACGCCCTTCCTTACGCAACCACAGTTATAAGCGGTGGGCCTAGCTTTTGATGATCCAACATCACTCACAAGGCAGTGAGGGTCAGTTTAATGTCATAACCAGGACAGAAATTTAGTAACAATAATTAATGATAATTCATTTTTGTAACATTTGTATTCAAACATTTTAATTGACAAACAAATGTTCAGTTAAAAATTGTTTAATTTGTTTGTCGATATAAAAATGGCAACTATTTGTCAGCCGTCATCCCAAGTGATACACCGGTTGCATTTGTTATCAAGAGAACACTTGAATCAATGTTTCCATACACTTCACAATCATTAATATTAATCATGGAACATTTACTCAGCTGCTTATGCATGCTACGTATGCGCCGATTGAATCATTTTTTGTGATGACTCAATATAATATGGTGCACAAGAATCTGGAGTATCATAACACTTTCAATTCACGACTAAATGAAATTGAATATCATTTCATAAAACCGTTTATAAATAGAAAAAAGTCACATCCTTTTGATACAAGTACACAAAATAATTATGGAAGTTTAATAAAGTTGATAATTTTTTATGAAACTTTCACTTTACACCAGTTTCGCCAGAAAAACATGCTAACTAGGTTGGGTTGGCAAGTTAGCTCACATAGTAGGAAGGAAGGCCATGTCTGGCTTAGTTCGAATTCAATCCTTGCAAAACCCAAAGAGGTGTATAAATGTCATTTGCTCGTATAAGTGCACTTTTGTGGCCCACAAACATAAATGGAAACTAAAGAACCAAAAACGGTTCAATGTGTTCCGCATTTGTTACCGATGCATAATAATGAAAATAAACTGATTAGTAAGTTGATATGTTTTGGTATAGAACAAATATGCAAACAGTTATTTAGAGTAATTATGTAATAATATTAAAATAGCCCAAATTTTATGTTTACGGAAAACATCGTAAAAATTTCCGAAAATTCTAGAAAAATGTGAGCAGTCATTTGTAGTTTGGAATGCAAGCAATGAAAGAAGACACACCTGACTTCACAACACATCTTACTTGCACCTGCTCACTAAATTGGGACTTATTGATCGTTGCAGCGGCTTTCAACTAACATTTTTGTACTATTTCTCTTTGAAACTATTATGTCATAATAATAAAATTTCGCAAAAACGTTTGAATAGAAATGTGTCCATTTAGTAAAGAAATTTTTATAAAGTTTTTATCTGTTATTTCGGTAGTCTATACACAAATGATAAAAAAAAATTGAACAATTATTATTATATTTTTATGTAGTTTCACAATTAAAAATTGAAAAACCAAATGTTTATTAAATTTGAAAAATTATTTTAGCATCATGAAATTTGAAATTTTAATCAAAATTTTAAATTATTGCACCAAAAAAACATACCATTCGATGCAACTGTTCCACTCTGAACCTGTAGTCTCTCAAATGTGCGATCAGGTTGTCCTCTCGCTGCCTGGACACGTCGTTGTTCCCACGTTGGAAAGCTTTGTACGTTGCGGACCTGTTCGATTTGTCCTCTTCATCCTCGGAATTCGATACACTTTTTCTCAACTCTCGCTTTTTATCGAATTTCTGCAAAAAAAATGAAATCGACTGTAGTTAAATTTAAATACATTACTTGAAAATTTCTCTAAGTTTGTGAAAGAATGGACAAGAAAATAAAACATTCTGACAAAAATTTGGATAATATTAATAAAACCAACATTCTGAGTTAAGTTTAAGAAAATAATGTTCATAACTTTTTGTTTGATTTGTAAAACGGTTAAAATGTTTGATGTTAGATGTAGTCGGCATCCATTCAGTTTTGCGGTATTAAATTTTTTTATGTTGAGTATACTTACATACACCAATCGACATGCTAAAAGCACTCATTCATAAGAAAGTTTCTTGAAGCCATCAATCGTGTTATAAAATCAATTTGTTTATTTCACAATATTTTTATAGTTTTCAATAAAAATAATTCAAACAATCATACAAATGCACAAAATAACAGATAAATGTAAAAACGAACTTTTACTTGCTCCGCTAAATTTGGAGTGCTGGAATGTTGCTGATCATTCTTACTGCTGAAACTTCTTCTATCGTTGCGTTCAGTTGGACCAGTCTTGCTGTTCAATAATTTTGTCGAAAATTCATTTTCCTCCCTGGTTTCCAAGATCATCATCCAATCTGCCTGTACCGATTTGTCTTCACACACAGGGCCGTGCTCGCTGTGCTTCGAATGCTGGCGGTCATCAATGCAACAATTTTCATCAATTAATTAAGTTGATTTGAATAATGTAACAAACATTTTTTTTTTGTTAAAGTTTAATGTGGCTATGCAAACCATTAAAAAAGACTTGGGATGCGTTGTTTTCGAACGGTCAAATCAAAGTTTCAGTCTTGTAAAGTTTTACTTTTTGTCGTACTGTGATGTTAAATAACATTGACATATTTGGCGTTTTTTGCAAAAAAAAAATAAATTACTCGAAGTTTTTGCATTTTTTAGTGTCTCATAAATTTTAAAAATGTTGAAATTATTTTTATTTCACGTTTGCAAATAAATAACGGCAATTAATTTTTTAGATGGTTTAATGATTTTAATACTTTAAAAAACATGTGGTGAAATAGAATTATGTTAATGACAAGTTTGTTTTACCATGATTGCATGCTTATGTCGATTTTTGAATACGTTCGTAGATCGTATCAATAAACTCGAGAATGAAACATAAATATTAAACAATTTTTTATATACATGGTACCCTCTGAATTAAATAGACTGCATAAAGTTGTTTTAAATGAAATATTCTAACTCACTCGATGAAGAACAAAAAATTAAAACCAAAAAAAAATTTTGCACACGCAACACCAAAAAAGAAAGATTCTGGAAGATTCTGGTGATAAAGAGCATCTTGAAGATTTCGTAACAATTTTGGACGTTAACTTAATGCTATGTAATAAATATGCTGTGGAAGTATTTAATGTTCGAATGAAGCTCATAAATAAAAATTCTCTACCTACGTTCGATTTTTAGTGAAATTTTGCGAATTTGGATGGATTGCTGTTCTAGTGCATCAATAATGTCTGTTTAGTTGAACAATCTTTTTTCTGGTGATCATTACGATTTTGTAATGAATTTAAAATTCCTTTATTAAAAATTCCTCTAAAAATACATGAAAAGTTTGAAAATCACATTCGTGCCGATCTTTCAACTTCTTCCTTGCAACGTGAACAATTTTCTGAAGTTGTAGGCCATCAACTTGTCTCATGAAAGTGTAAACACTTTTATCATTTTCAGCAACCTGACAAGAAAGATCCGAATTTCTTTTGTGTTCTCCTCTTACGTCGAAAAATATAAAAAATATTTATAAACATACAAACCACTTTTTATATTTACTATTATATAATAAAATAATATTTAAAACACGTCAAAACGTGATTTTTTTTTAAACGGACAATCAACTTAGTTACATCTTGCTGACACGTATTTTAAAATGTTTCAATATTTTTAGTCTAAAAAATCATTATTTTGCTGCAAACAAAAAATGAATAAACATAGTTGCAGCAACAATGTGGAACAAAAAACAATAGACATGGTTGCAGCAACAATGAGAGACATGGTTGCATCAGCAACAATGAGAGACATGGTTGCAGCAACAATGAGGAACAAAAAACAATAGACATGGTTGCAGCCAGCAACAAGGCGAATACAAAGCAGTTGCGTATTTCACTAACAAATCATATATCAGAACCATATAAATATAACATAATATGATAGATATATATATAAAAGAATAGAATATATTCTACATATTATATATATATGATCAGAACACAATCATGAACTCATCGTAAGAATACATCGACGTAATAAAACGTACATTTTATGTACAATTCATTTATTAAAATATTCATTAGCATACGCTGTGGAGGGCACAAATCGGAAGAAAGTGCTTGATATTTTTTCTTATTACATGCCTGGAATTTGAACATCCTCCTTATTATTTATTTACATAGATGTTAACATAAATGCAAGATGGTGTTCAACCCAAGTTACTAGCGTGTACATGCATGTTAGTTCGTATCACCTTAATCTATTTTGTCTGAAAAAATACAAACAATTTCTAAGCGGATTTGATGAAATTTTTCAAGTTAAAACCAAATCGCGAATTAAGAATTTTTTTGTTCAAGTGAAATTTAATGAAATTTTTATTTTTTGATATAAATTTCTAAAAGAAAAAATAACAGCAACAGGAAATTTATAAAAAATGCACAGGCACACTCGAAAGAACGTAAAAATGTTATTGCCCTCTATAAGATGTAATTTTTATACTGACTCCCGCATTATCTGAAGGTGCAAAGGTGCAACAATAAATTAATGATAACGAAGTTTCCGAGAAGACGAAATTTTATCCCAACAAAATTCTGTTTATTTTTTAAAAATTGAATGCAGCACCATCGCTTGCAGTGAAAATTACATCTCAGTGCAAACAGTTCTGTAAATTGTTGCTCGTTTTAAAAGTCTGCCTCCTGCCAAGAGCAATCTATTATAATTTTGCATGGAAATTTGATGATTACGAAGACTTATAAAATGGCGATAGTTGACAAAAATGATGTTATAACGATGGGACGCGGGTGGAAGATTTACACTCCGTCCTGAAAACAATACCAATAAGATCATCGTTCGTGTAGTTTAAAAATAATAAATGTTAATTTTTTGCCATTTATTATGATCTACAAAGTCGTTCACATCAACGCAAAACATTCTTGGCACTGAAATGGGATACGTTCTTTGATGTTCAGATTGTTCAGATTCAGAGCAATTTTCAGTTTTTTTTTTACTGTCGAGTTAAATTGTTTTCACGTTACTTTTCAAAAGTTACGTATAAATACTGCGTTGTTTGTATTTACATCCTGGCGTTTCAACAAGGAGTTTATCATTGCAGTTGTAAATAATATAGAAATTATCGTAATAATAATGTTATTGTAATTATTGTAATAATTAAGATATGCTTTAATATTGTAGAAGTTGTAAATTAGTAGCCGAGCAGTGATAGTTGAAACTATCAAAGTTAGCGTAGAATGTGCCTAGTTTGCCGTGTTCATCCCATTATTTAACCCGATACATGAACCAGCCCTCTTCTCGGAGGCGAACAAGCACTTACGTCAACCTCAGCTAGTTAATCACTCACGTTCAAGTGTTTGTGCTGAGTTTTATGGGCGGGTTCTCATCCGCCCACAAACAACACTTTCCAGCAAATAAATATTATAGTGAACGAACGTGAGTTGTTAAATTTATATAAAAAATAATAAAACGAATTTTAAAAATTAGATTGAATACATTCCACATCAAAAACACAAAATAACTCAGCAAACTAGACGGTATGTGTTGATTAAAATTGATTGCAAATTTCATTTCATATCTAAAATAATTTTTTTTTGTAAAAATGTCAAATAATATTAATAATTTTTCTAGTTATTCAAGAATCGCATGTGAACAATTTTTCTGAAAGTTTAGGGTCGAAAAGATTCATGCTACAATTCTGATCCAAATAAATAAGAAAAATGTTGATTGATAACTTTTGTCGTCTGCTAGACTGTTTAGAGTTCATGGTAATACAACAGTAATGCTTTCGTGTCCTGATATAAAAATATCACGTAGTGATGATCGACAGTTTTAACATAAATATTATTTTTCCTTTCTTTACGAAGATGTAACACAACATTCAATCAAACAGTCGCTGCACATCATCCACTTCATCCATCTTCTGTGCACTGTGTTTGTTAGCGCGTCATAACATCATCAGCGAACCATCCATACATAGTTACATCAACATCATCAAGCGAACCATCCATAGATCGTTGCATCAACATCGTCAAGAGAACCATCCTTACATCGTTACTTCAACATCGTCCGACTCACCTCCTTCATGTTCATAAGGTGGATCTTCAGCAAATCAAGGAACTCGTCAGTCGAACAAGCGCTCAATTCATCCAACTTTTTTTTCAGTTCATCCATTTTTATCATTTCATCAATGACGATCAAAATTTTAAATTAAATTTTACAAAATAAATTAAATCCAAAATATTGGAACATTGACAAAATGAATATTAAATCGGGATAAAGTGCCAACAACTTTTCAATAGCTTTAAAAGTTATTGTGTAATTTTTATTCACATTAAATAATTAACTGAAAATATTTGTAAGCTCATTAATGTTTCAACAATTGTAACAATGTACGAGTGGTCACTTGCAACGTTACGAGAGGAAGAGGGCAGTGGTGCAGCGCGTGGACGACCACCAACAGACAACTGAAACAGAGTTTTAAAATGATTTGATACAATTGGACGCTGTTGAATCTAACAGGCTGAACATTTGCTCATATTATAGATAGGAAGCTGAATTAAACGGCATGCATGCGGACAGCTTGGCATGTAGACAAACAGACAGGCAGACTGGCAGACAGACAGACAGGCAGGCAGGCAGGTCGACTCAAATATGGCGCTGTGGAAATATGAAATGTAACTTCAATTGGTCTCCAGGCGATTATTCGATTCGATGATTGAAGGAATGGACGTAGACAGATGATGTGGATATGAAAGCATCAATATGGAGGGAGATTAATAAAATAGATTATTGAAGTTAAGAGAATTGGTGTTTTTATTGATATACAGTTTTTTTTTCAATTCAAGTAAGACATCGATATAATAATTATTATTGTTTGTTTTTTAAATTAATTTGATAAATTATAAAATAAATTTTTCCCAAACAATTTCATGTTATACCTAAGAGTATGTGTATAATTTTACTGTTAATTTTAAAATAATTTCTCTAAAGAATTAAGTTGCTCACGTTAAAATTTTAACAAAATAAAACTATGCTGAAAACCGTTCATTTTGACAAAAAGCTTGTTATTTAAATTTTACTAAATTAAAAAAAATATATGTTAACATTTTGAACCAAGAGTTTTAATAACCAACAGCCTTAATAAAAGTTGAATTAATTCCCAAATGCGTGAAAAACAAATCTCAAACGAATTTCATTCAAGAGGTTGTTGATTTATTGGCCGAAGTACTTCGAAGTTCAATAGAATGAAATTCAAAACTTTAAAAACTGGTTAGCAACTATTTTTTCCAATATGTTGAAAATAAATATAGTCCCAACACACAAAAATATTTATATTCGCGAATGTTGGACTTGGAAATATTTCAAGTCAGCAAGGGAACAGCAGATGGAAAAAAAATTAGCCACATTTTACTGTGAGCAAGTAATATTCGTAAAATGACGAAAATCACATTAATATCATTTCAAACATTGAATATATGAGTGGTGTGAGAATAAAGAAATCTCCTAAAACACATTTTGGCTTTTGGAAAAACTATCTAGAAAATGTTGTGTGAGGAAAAACCAAAAATAAATGATTAAAATACCAAATAAATGATTTTTATTCCAAAATAAATAAAATTATCTGCAACTGAATAAATTAAAATATCAACAGAAAAAAGATAAATTACTAAATGAATGAACAAATAAATATATTTCAAAAAAGAATAAACTCCCCAATTCCATTTTGTTATTAATTATGCACCAAAACATTACGACGTTATATCTTTGCGTATACTACCTGTTTTTGACTAAATTTTAGTTAGGAAGTATTGGGCGGTTCAATTAGAGTTCTCCGTCATTTATCTCATTCAGTGCATTTGACATTGCAAAATGTACCAATTTAACTTCACAAAGAAAATTATTTAATTTTTCATAAAAAATAAAATTAGTTAATAAGCTTAATTTTTCCTCGTTATTATAACAATAAATAATCATTTAAGGTAAATAGAAGAGTGTCTATGAAAACTTGTTATCATAATAAACCAACATAAACAACTTGCTAAGAAAACATCGCATCACATACTTGCGTCTAATATTGAAAGCCCCTGTCAGTAATTGATCAGAAGCAAACCTGACGGTAGCACTCTTCAAATCTGTGCCTGCGCATCAAGAAAATAATTAAAAGTTGTCGGCGGATTATGATGGAGGTGTTTTAAAAATTTGTTGTCCTTGGGAAGCTTACTGCAAAAAAATCATTCACACAATTTTCTATCCAAAAATGTTTGAAAATCAGTATTTTTCATCATGTTTCTACATTTTTTAGCTAATCGGGCATACATTTTTACATTCGCCCTTTAATACCATTAAAAAAAATTCCTTAAAATCTCATGCTTGTAAAGTCATATAAAATGACTCGATTGCTGTAAAAATTTACAAATAATTGGTATTATTAAAATAAATTATATGTTTTGTTTTTCAACTTTTATAGAAAATTCTGTATGATCTTTTTTAGCTCTAGAAAACTTACGTTTCATTAATTCAAACATGCACTAAAGATGTTAGAAAAAGCATGTACTCATTTGCAAACAAAGACGTTGATCAAAACCAAAGACTATTCTTGATATAATTTTTTTAAATGTTCTGCAAAATAGGAATAGATATCTTTAAAAATATTGATATAATCTTTCATTCAATGTGTACCTTTCAAGCTACGACATTTGTTTGCTTGTTGATTCATTTATTAATTTATTTATCCAGTTGAACGAAAGGCTAGGTCAAAAGATTTTCGAAAAAAATTGAAAATTATTATAGCATCCTTGCACAAAAAATGTGGCAAAAAATTATGTTTTTTGAACTGGCAAATTTATTCTTAATTTAATTTTTGTTCACAAAGGTTCATTTTCGAAACATGGTTGTGGGAACACCAAGGCAAAACCTTTAGGGCCTGAAAAGTTCATTTCCATGTCTGGCCCCGCATTTCGACTCGAGCTTACATTCACCAAAACACACATACATTTATACAAAACAACATAGATGCACTTGGACATTCATTGATACCTACGTGCGTACGTGCAGGCATGCAAAAATGCAATAGGAGCATGTATAAACAAAGCGTATTGACGAACCTGTCCCAGCAGTGAGCTGACTGACGGGACGCAACCTTAATTTCTCAGGAGTGCCAGCAGGGCAGCAGTTAACAAATACACGAAGTCTCATACTCATACTCATACAAATACTCATAACTATTATTATTTTTTTATTTATGTTATTTATTTCATTATTATATTTTATTATTATAATGTTATTATTACCATTATTGTGGTTATTACTAAGCCAATTCTCAGCCTATCAGTATCTGCAATCTCTTATCTTAACTGTTATCACCAAGTTTCCTTCTAAATATGTATGCTTATATTTAAATAAACAATGTATATATATATGTATAAACAATATGTATATACTTCTATATTTGTATATATATATATATATATTATATATGTATGTATGTATGTATGTATGTATGTATGCATGTGTTAAAACCAAATCATTGACGAATGACACCAAAAGCCAAGCGTCTGACTAAATTTGATTTTATTTGCTATAACGTCATTCAACCCCGTCGGCATTCAACTCCACATTTTTCCACACACAGACGCGCAAAAACCGCTGCAGAATGCACGAGATATTATTCATAGCGAAAAAATATTCCCTACTATCGCCTGACCTAATACTGATATTTTTACAAATTCGATTGAAAAACCCGGAGGTGTTACGGTCCATGGAACCAAGGACCCCGATACAAATCGGTAAAAACTCCATCGAGGGGAGAGCTCCGTCGTACTTTTTGATCTTCTCGTCAGATGCCCTGGTTGCAGCCAAACCGCTTTCTTTGCTAGTAAGCTGCACGTAGCGCTCAGCAAAGGTGCCCGGAACGGTAACGTCCCACGCCAATCACCTGCCGGCTATCCAAGGGATCAAGGTACATCCTAACCCTAACCCTAACCGTCGTGCGCCGCAATGCCCGACGGTTCCTTTAAAACCGGAATTGAGGCCTTGAAAAAAAGTCGGCACACAAAATCGTTTATGGCTGAATGTCGCTGCTGGCGACCTCCGCCCAAACGACAAACAAGACCATGATGGCCGAGTTCATCCGCCTCCGCGCCGCACCTGCATGTATATCGACTCTGAACGGCCAACCCCAGACGGAAGCCAATCTGTCCTGACCGTTTCGTCGTCCAATCTGGTACCCACCGACGTATTGGGCAAAGATCTCAGCCAGCCACAACTCGCCTCGCTGGATACTGCCAGCAAGCGAGCTGAGGTCGCCGAGTCAGGGCTTGAGGAAAGCAACTCTTTGAATGTGCGTTTATATGCTTTCTCCAAAATGTTGCCCTGGGAAAGGTCTGTTGGTTGGATTGGAGTCGGTGGAGTACAGTGTAGGCTACTAAATTGCCGAAGAAGGGCAGACTGTAGGTCAAACGTGGCAGATGTGGAAGATTTATAAACAATTGGTGCAAGCTGAACCACGCTTAGTAACCCCAGACCCCCAAATCGTACCGGCAGCTGAGCCTGAGACCAACCCTTGTCGGTAATATCGACGTTACAAATTGCTGAGAGGGCCACCCGCAGAGCACCCTCAAATTCGCCCAAAATGGCCACATTAACAAAATTGGATGTGCGCAAAAAATACATCAATTTCGGCAAACTGAGGGCGCCGCAGATGATTGTCAGCGCATCGTGGACCGGGAGAAGAGAAACACGTTCGAGGGCAAATCTTAGCTCAAAAAGTTTTTTATTAAAAAACCTGTCCTGATGATCGCCGGCCATCATTGGAGTGCCTAAAAAATTTAATGATGAATGGGGCACTGTGGGGACATTAGCCAGCACGTGTGGCATTTGAAACGTGTCATTTACAAGTAGTTCACACTTGTTTGTGTTTAATTCAAGACCAATGATAGAAGCGCCGACCCTCAGCGACAGGAAGTCGACCGCTAAGATGTTACCCTCTGCGGCCAAGCTGACATCGTCCAGGTAGCCACAAACAAACGCCGAGGATGACTTCGTCATATGTATGTATGTGTGTATACACACACATTTAGGTTTTTGTTGTCTTTTGAAGTGGGCGTTCAGAATAGTTTCGAGAAAATTCAGTAATTTATGTATGGAATAACTTGAATACCTTGTTAGAAAACTTTGTGGTTTTCGGCCAATGTTAATGAATAAGGAGACGAGTTTGTGAGTGGAAAAAGTTGAAACCTCATCAATCCAACTGCCAATCAAATTAATTGTTCACTCATTCATTCACTTATAAATATGCTAAAATTCTGAACAAAATTTCAGATAGGGGTCATATAAGCATTAACAATATTCTCGTTTTTTATACCTGCTTAGTTTTTCGCTACATACACTTAACTTAATGAGCATTTCTTGGATGTTAACACATCAATTCATTTTTTTCAAATTTCATTCATATGTAACATTATTTATCGTTCGTTGTCGTCTGGTAATTATGTAGTGAGTGTAAGGATGCATGTTTGTGTGTCTGTGTGTGTGAGTGAGTCTGAGTGTGTGTATGTCTGTCTGTGTGTTTGTGTGTGTGTGTGTTTGTGTGTGTTTGTGTGCATTTGTGAAATGAATGGTGGATAGCAACGTAAATACACTCCCATGTTAATTAACAAGCATCTTTTACTAACAGAGCGTTTGCTGGGGAAGAAATATTGCAAACGTAATAAACTATCGAAAACAAACCAAAGTGAATATAAAAAATTAAGCAACATAAACAACAACAGCATCAACTGACACTATGGAGATACAAACGAAAATTAAAAACCTGAGGATAATAAATTATATTTGCTCATATGATGATCGTCAGACCTACAAACACCATCACAACCGTGCAAAACTCTTCTACATACATACATACATACATACATACATAAATAAACAGATAGGTAAATTTACTATGTGTGCTTGTGTGTGCGTGGTGCGTGTGTGTGTGTGTGTGTGTGTATGTGTTGTGTGCGTGTGTGTGTTGCAAAATATTACAAACAAATTGTGTAATACTATGTAGGCACTACTATATGATATAGATTATAGAACATAAAAATTTCAAACTGTTAATGATTGGAGCAGTCATTAAGAGGAATGTTTGTACTTGAAACGTTGCCAGCATTTTTTATGTTTGTTTAATATTCGCGAAGTGAGAAATGAAGCACATTAACAATGTGAACCTTGTTTTGTAGGATGAAGACTTTTATTCCATCTTCTGCATCTTTCAGCAGTTGGAAGTGACCTGTCAAAATCAAATACATGTTCAGTTAAACCAAAACAACTCAATACAATTAGTATTTGCATTTTGAAATACCTAATTTCACAGACATCGTTTATTAACTTACCATAAATATTTAATACATTTGATTATTTAAAATACGTTGTATAATATAATTATTCATAACAGATATAAATTTCCATGATAAGTATGTAGATAAATAGATGAATTGTATATTTTATATATTTATAAAAATTATATATATATATATATATATAGAGAGAGAGAGAGAGAGAGAGAGGAGAAAGAGAGATATAGAAAGAGAAGAGAGAAAGAGAGAAAGAGAGAGAGAGAGGGAGAGCAGACTTAAGAAATAAATTCTATGTGGCAAATGTATTTATGTTATTTGATGTATTAGCTGAAATGTGTTTGATGGGTGATCCATCAGGAAAGTTTCATTAAACCAGCATGGCACAGCACTCAGTGGCGGATCTAAACTTTAACAGGGAGGAGAGCAAAAATTTTAAAATGTGTAAATTTTCACGAGAGGCCAAGATTTGTGGTAGTGTGGCTGGCGATCTTTTTTTTTGCTTATAACTTTCAATTTTTGGTCGACGATTCTTTTTCTGGCTTTTATTAAAAACTTCTCACAGCCCACCGGCCCACTAAATCTGCCACTGTTGGCACGTAATACATTAAAAATGTTCCATATGGTTCACTTTAGTTCGAGTTAGTCCTTTTAATCCAATTTTGATAAAAAATTCATGATAATGTTTTTATTTTTAATTAACGGCAATATAATAACAGAATTAATTGCGCCCCAGGCAATAAATTAATTCCGACAAGCAAGTGCTAACCATCAACATTCAAATGTGTTCGTCTATTTATGGAAATGTTTAAAACAAATGCAAACGTTAGAATCATTGCACTTAATTAGGTGTTTAAATATATAACTTTCTAGGATTTTTTTGCTTTTTATTACGTTTGAAGATCTCATTTGAACGTCAATCTACTCACATGGCTCATGATGGCATCAAATTACGACAAAAATCAACCGTCAAATTGAATGAGCATCGTTTTTCATAATTCGATTGATGACTTCAATCAGCCCTTCTCCTAACATGTTTTTTCTCACAAAACTATTTCCAACACATGCCGAACGCTCAAAATAGTAGATATATACAACGTACAATCTGGTATAAAAACAGCAGATGAAAATATACAAAGAAGTGGAAACGGTGTTTACTTTGGATTGTGAAGTACTGGAAAGCTTAAAAAAATAAGCAACCACTGTTCCATTGTTTATTACTATTGAAATGTTTTTATAAGTCGGTGAGATGAAGAAATAACATTAGAAGTTTGCAATTTGCTTGCACGCTTGTTACCGCCCACTCGTGAAACTTTTTTCTCAGTTTTCCAGAAACTTTTTTCTCAGTTCTCCATCTGGAGTGAAAATGGAACGCACACTAAATAAATTCATAATCACAAACAAGAATTTATTATTTTTAATTTAAAAAAATCTAAGTTAGAAAAAAAATGTTCATTAGTCCCTAGCCAATAACGTTTGTTTAAGTTGATTTAAGAAATGTTGCATAATATAATATTCTCCATATATGTATCTCAGAACTGGTATCCCGATTGAATATTGAATCCTATGTAGAACGTGTAAGGTGGTGTTCATCATATCAACGGCTTTCTCGTTTAATGTGATGCATCTACTTCGTTGTCTGATAAATTTGATAAAATGTTGTTAATCTGCTTCATGCTCTAACAGTTCTGTCGGAGCATAACTAGATATTTGGAGAATGTGGTATTACAAAAATAATATCTACATCTGTCGACATATCTCCACATCAACAACATTTAATAAATCTAAACAATCACCGCTTTCTTAAAAAATTGCAAAATAATTTTATATACAAAAATGTGCACCACGTAAATGTGATACAGGAAAAATTGAAGGAAGATAAACGAACAGCGGAAGAAAATTGGAAGAAGTTTTATATTACGTATGAGATGATAACATTGAAATTGAATTTATGAATGCAATATTTTGTCAAGAAACAGTTGTGGCAACGATAAGTTACCGTTTCTGTGACGTGCAGTCATATGTGTGCACGCACATGCTTCCCCTTCTTATTTGTGCAGATGTGAAACAACGTTTGGCAGGTGTGTGTGTGTGTGTGTGTGTGTGCGCGCGCGCGCTTTTCTGAACGTATTTGAGTTTGAGTTTCTTGTTTTGTTATTTGTGCGTCTATATGATGGATGTATCTATCTGTGTGTTGGTTTGCCTAAAGAGGTAGAAAGTTTTAACAGTCACATAAATAAACATGTGGGCTTGCAAAAAGGTTGGTGAGTCTGAATAAATGATGGATGTATTAATGTGCTCTACCAATATTTACTTATTTGTTTTACGAAATCTCTCGTTTTCCTATGTCTAACTTAACCTATTGTAAATTTGTATTCATTTATTGTTTTTTGTTATTAATGATTTTAAAATCCTCTGATGGACTTAGAAGGTTTGAAATTTTATCATTAAAACGTTCAAATCATTCTGCAGTTTGAACAAGTTGTATAAGAATAAGAGGGATTTGAAATAAAAATTGTATTGCTGCTAATGTTGTTTCTCCGCCGCTTAAATTTACAGATAACAACCAGGCAACAAAGTGATGGTTTCAAGCCAGTGAATTGCATCTAATGTTGCCTGCCTGGTGAATAAATTATTGGCGGTACTTGACGCAAACAGAAAGATGCAAATGCTTACATATTTATATCTAGACACGTATCTAGACATGTATTTTCGTGGTGAATCTGTATTAGTATTTAAGTTGCTCATGTGTATGTATGTATAGGTTATATAATTAATTACATACGAATGCTCTAATTATGATAAGTATCGTCATCATCATTATTGACGAGACTAAATATTTGTCGTTGATGTAGTTGCGACTGTTGCAGCATGTTGTCAAAACATTATTATCATCATTCTCTTTGAGCACGTAAATGTATGTACAATTTTTCAAATAATTTAAAAATATATACTGTGCATGTGTGTATGTTTTTTTAGAATGTATGTTTGTGTGCGAGTGTGTGTGTGTTGTGTGTTTGCTGCTGTTGTTGCACAATCAATTTTAGTATAATTGCAGCTTGTTTACATAAAACTCTTCATGATAATAAATGCTTCTATCCGTGGTATGGTCGGAAGAAATCACGTCTAGAAGATTTTAAACTACATATTTGCATGCGTCAGGAAGGCAAGTTTGTGAATTAATAATCTTATCAACTATTAGTTTTTAGCTATTCATTGACTTATATCACACTTGGGTGTAGTAAAACATTGGCTCTTGAACTTACAAACATACATGATATTTTATATACTGACTTGCCTCTTGACGGAGCCAATCCATTTCCATTATATTCACAGTTATCGTCATTGCTGTCCTCATCATTATTGTCGTTGTCGTCGTCAACAAAATTGTTGTTGTCATCAACAAAATCGTTGTTGTAATCATCATTGTCGTCGCCATAATTGTTGTTGTCGTTGAAGTCCTGATGTAGAGCAGCACTTCGGTCTGCACGGTGTTGTTGTTGTTGTTGCTGTTGTTGTTGTTGAGTTGTTTCATCTTCATCGCCAGCTTCGCTTAGCTGTCGCCTTAATTTATCATTACCGATCTTTCTAACGTTATTATTTTTCCACTTTTTGTTCTTCAACTTCGCATCAACGTTCTTGTAAGAATCACGAGGAGGCTCGGAAATGTCGGAATCGTCGCTTTCATCCATCTCATCTCTATCTACATTTGTGATTTTATTGCTATTCAAATCGTTGGTTAAGTTAAAAATACCGTTCGCATTGGAATCATGACGTGTTTGATGGGGACCGGCTTGAGACGCCGTATGAGTAGATGTGTGGCGCAAATTTTTATTTTTGATCACATTGGTGTCGTTGCTTATTGTTTCGTTGTTGTTTTTCCGAATACGATCTCCACGCTTGTGGGCAGACGTTTTGAATCTCACCGAACTTCTTTTACTGGAAGCTAATGAGGAACTTTCAACTTTGTTCCGCGTGTTAGAAGGTGCGTGCTTTGCGGTTGGGGTGATGACATCTGAAAAGTTTACTCTGTGTTGGCGAGTGTGTGCACATTTATCTGAGATGGTGTTGTGAATGGTATTTGTTCTGTTGTTCAAATTAATCCAACCATTAGCGGCTCTAATTTCTTTCTTGTAAGTAGAAAGTTGAGGACGAGAATGTTCAATGGACCTGAGGAGGTCCTCAGAGGTCGGTGAAATGTTCCCGCCGTCACCATCGATGATGTAAATGTTCGTGCTGTCCTTCTTGTTCGTTATCTCCCAGAAACGTTTCTCATTGTATGTGGCAAATCCTGCCATGTCACGAACAGAAATTAGTTGCTAACGTCAAATTAAACGGTCGAACATTACGAATAAGGGAGCCATTCAGCAATGCAACACAGCCCGGCAATGCAAAGCACGGAACGAAATGCTGAAAGCTGGGAGAGAACTAACTGGACCAAATGATGATTAATCGTTGGAATAACGTATTACACTCTTGAAAATGACCGGAAAACTTTTTACATATGGCTGTTGAGTTAAAATGAATATCTAATCCTACATCCTCATCTAACAAATTCAATTTACGAGACAATAAAACGTTTATGAAGCTGCACTTAATTGACAATTAACTAACCTTATTAAACACTCCTAATTTTAATTAAACTTCGAAACCGCACAAAAACAACCGAACGTTCTCAAATGTTTGAAGGTTTCTTTCCGTCAAACGAATTTAACAAAAATCAGCATTAAAATTAAATATAGATTTGATATCCGTCAGTTTCACATTTCCTCATAAAACTTTCTTCATTACTTACATTATGTTGTTCAATGAAATATTTAGAAACACAACTGTTGTATTGATGTTAAACGATGTAAACATCCGTTAAAAACGTCTTAAGCATATGAAATACATTATACTAGCACGCTTGCCGGTCTCGAGATGTTTGTTATATGTTACGCGCTTGTAATGCATTATTATGTATATCCTATAATACGTTAAGTTTAACCATTTGCATCAGACAACACCAATTATATATTTCAATATTATTATGTTAATTTCTAAATTAAGTGAATTTGTAAAATGTTGACGTAACTACAACAGTCAACACAGGCAGGTGGCGTTCATACAGCGCCATCTCAATCAACTTTGCACGTCTTCTTGCATACGCAAGAGGTAAGTTATCAATAAATAAAATGCAAATCAATAGTAAATAATTTGAGCTTCACGCCGATCGAATACGATTCAGTCATCACATGGTAGGTCACAACGTAACAACGACAGCGAACCAAAAAAAAGTTAATTTGAAACTAATAAATTAAAACAAATAATATATTTAAAATTAAAACGATTCTGCATTGCCTGGTCAGCAAAGCTTCTATTAATATTCCCTTGCAAACAACAACTTTCAGTTCTAACGAAAAAAATAAATTTTTCCTCCAACCAACGATGTCCAACTGAACAGCAATTTAAAAAAACCGGCTTCCCCTGGCGTAAGCACTAGAGATGCACCGAATAGTGATTTTGGCTAAAGGCCGAATAGTTGATCCACCATTTGGCCGAAGCCGAAGACTAATAAAAACATAATCATGAAAAAAATTTAGTTTTTTTCAAAATGGAAAACAAGCTCTAGAAAAATCAGTAGGCGATTTATGGCAATCCAACAGTTCTTAATAGGGATAATATTGAAATTCTTGTTTAAATTCAAATGTTTTATGAGGGCAAAAATAAATTTCACGCTAATAATATTGAACAATCATTGTTTTAGATCCCAAAAAAGAAAAAGAGGCCTTAGTCGAATGCTAAATTTTGACCAAATGTTTGACCAGGTGAACCTTCGGTGCGTTTCTATTAAAAATTCACATCTCCTACATCTGCAATTTTTATGGCATTTGGTTCACGTCGTCTTTCCTTTATTCAGTGTTTGAATTTCAAAAGAATAATTGAGATTTAGTTGGATGAGCTAAACAACGAAACTGAAACTTTTTAATTAATCGACTGTTTTTTGAGTAATTTTAATTTTAAAAGTCGAGAAAATAAAATATCAACAATGTACGAAAACGCATTCCGATGACCGATGAAAATGTGAAAACGAATATATTATAAATATATAAATTATTATTATATATAATATAAATAAATATATATACATATATATATATATATATATATATATATATATATATATATATATATATATACATGATATATAATATAAATATCATGAAAATATTCACTGAAAGAATTCATCGAAATGAATAAATTTACAAACAACTTCTGAATAAATGAATGAACGAGATAGGTAAAAATTTGGTTACAAATGAAACGATGTTTTCAAAATGCATGCACTCGGCTAAGAAATGTTAGTAAAAGATTTTCTCTTTGAAATGAAACAGTTAGTGATGGATTGGGCTATGGATGTTCCATCCATCAGTCGAGAAAGAATATGTCGTTGAAGAAGGTGGCGCACAATTTGTTCACTTCCTCTACATGAGAAAGGCAGGGTTATTTTAAATTATTACTAACTATAATAATAATAATAATAATTATTATTATTATTATTATTATTATTATTATTTATAATGTATTCAACCAAAATTTTTTCTCCTATTAATGTTTTCAATAACACCTTTTCAGTTTTTCACTCAAACAAAAAATTGTTTAACTTTTATTTGAATACCGAAAACAAGACTGAGTAATTGAAAACTATCATGATTAGAAAGGGGATTAACAAACGTTATCATAACAAAAAAAAGATAATTAAGATAAGTTGTGGCAAATAAATCGGAACATAATAGAGCAGTTAAAAACCAAATTCAAAATGATGAATAAATGAGAAATAAAAAAAAATTATGACATTTGAAAAACAATCACATTGCACTCAAAATTAAAAACTAAACTGAAATAGGAAATGGAATAAATAATTATAAAAAATCGCAGTCATTAATGTAAGAAAGAATATCACCATTGATGTCGATGAGGTTGGCGTTCTTCTGGTTGACGATGACGTAGACCTCCCGCTGGTCTGACCTCTTGCCAACCACCCAACAGTCGTTTGCAATCTTCACTACTGTCTCACAATCTTCAACCGTCTCTGAGGCACTGCGTATCACGATGCATTTTTACTAGACAGTATGCTTATTGCAAATAACAAATGGCAGAAGCCGAATGTAAAATTTCAGCAGGATATTGAGCCAGAAAGAATATTCGGTACATCTCTAGTTAATAGCATCCAAGGCCACCATGTTCATATGCAATAATAGCATAATAATCGTGTGCATAGTTGGCAGCCATTATCATCGTAATTCTCTTCATCATAATCTTTCGTGCTCTTAAGTGCATATACGACCGAAAGTACGTTAGCGCAAAATAAAGACTGTAACACGGAAAAATTCAATTTTTCAATTTGTACCTCACCCGCTATTAAGACAATTATGCCAACCTCTTAGCAGATTATAAAAACAGGAACAAAACTACAAATTTACAAAACGGAGAGATGTGAGAAGAAGTGTTGAACCTGTTGATGTCGAGGTTGATGGCAGAGACGAGCCTCATGACGTCAGGACTGACATTCAACACGACGCCATCCCACGAATGCATGCAACTCTTCTGAGCCAGGTTGGCTTTGTTGAAGTACACGTACTTTATGCTGGCTTCCGTGGGGGCACTGCAAGGTTATGATGATGACGACGACGACGATGATGATGAGTGGTGTCGGTAGTGATGATGATTGGGGTAACCATGGTGGTGGTGATCATAAAGTTCTTGCTGATGATGAAATACTAAGAGACAAGAATGAAAGATGCATTCGTAGAGTGAAAAGCCGTGTGGAGGAGGATGCACGGGAAACATTTTTAAATGAAATCGATTTTTATCCTATAACATGTTGTAGAGAAGAACATGAAACACAACGAAAACACAGTTTCATGGCTCTAAAAAAGTTCCAAACAAATTTGAGTCACTGTGAAGAGAAGAGGAGGAACAAAATTTGAAAAGACAAGATCCGGAAGACACATAAGAGAACTAAGAAAGAGACAGACTAGAACAAGTCAAGCACAAGATGGCACGCTCTCGTTAACTTGAATCGGGATGGAAATTAAATAAAAAAAATGAGAGAAAAAACTTCAGAAGCATTGGAAGGAAAGGATGACAAAACGATGACTGGAGATGAAACCGTAGCAGGATGGGATGATGATGAGTGATGGCGATGGTGACAAAAACATTGATTGATATAATTATTCAGAAAAGAAATCGTTAATAAACTCGTTAGATGAAACATGACGGAAATTTATCAAACCCGACGAGTCGTTTAATTTTGTACTGGGCAAACTCGTTGGCCAACTCTTCCATGTTGTCGTGGAAGTAGCGGTCCAGTCTAACAAAGAGTTCGAAGGGGGGAGTAACATTGCCTGAACAGATTTCAACGAAATATTTTTATGTTATCGTGGTGTCATCAATATTCCAGTTCATTTACAATTGCTTAACCAATAGAACTAGTCATGTGATGTAGATGAAACACGAACGCTGTTTTAGTACAAACTGCATGAATAATAAGCTTGAACATGCAATTAAACAGAGAATCAAATGTATGAAATGTATCCTACTGTCCAGATTAAACAGCTAGTATCACCTTAGCCGCAAATGTAATATTTCCTTAAACTGAGCCTGAGAAATGCCAAGACGTAATAAATTTCTAAACTGAATCGAAAAATGATAATGACCATCAATGAATAGACAGATAACTGCGTCGTAGATTTTGTAGACTGCAAGGTTGCACAACAGGGTACCATTTGACAGGTGAACCTGAGGCATCTGGCCGAGGTCGTGGTTGTTGCTGATGTCAGGTGGGCCCAAAATGAACCTTGTAAAAAATTAAATAAATAGATTATCAAATTGCATCGGAATGGCGGTATTTGAAGAAGCAAATTGTGAAGAATTACATTAAACAACAAAAATTCATTTTATTAATGCTCATGCACAACAACAACAACTAGATCATTAAAAACATCTACCGCCACACGGAGATGAACGTGAGGGAAGAAGTGCCGATGTGAAGAGTTCAAAAAGCATTTATCTTAACAATAGCACCTTCTAAGTTGTGAAGTTTGTAAAAATTAAATCTCACACCCATAAAGTATCAGTAGTTAGTTCGTCAAATTAAAAAAAGCAACGCCCATTAATAGCTAAAGAGCTGGAAACGTAAAAAAACTGTCAAGGCGGTGACCTTCTTAGCCGTAAATTGAACATTAATTTCACCATAAATTTTTTTTAAATCTCAACATCCATCACATGAAAGACACACAACTAACTTTCCCACCCTCAAGCCAGGTTTGGTGGTGGTGGTTGATGATGATGTTGATGATGACGACGACGACGTTGTGGATGGAGCAGCTGTGTAAGGATGAAAATCTTGCTCCATGACAGCAGGGTACAAGCTGGTGACCAGGAAATGGTACAGGGTTTTCATGTCATCCTGCTCAATACCAGTCCTGTGAAGAACAGCAACTTCTAGCCATTATATCAATTTATAAACAAAATGCATTGATGCAATGAAATGTGAAACAATCTATCATCACAATTCATTAAATATAGACAGTATATGGGATATCTGTTTAATTAAATTGAAAAATGTCTTACTTATTTAATAACATTGCGTCATAAATTTATTTTAATATTGTTTTTAGTTCTAAACAGTATCACAGCTCTCACAAGATGCACATTGTGAGAGCTAATGAATTGCAGGTGACTACATCACAAAACACAAATGAAGGCAGAAATATTTAAAAATTCATTTAAATATGTATAAAACAGCAGGCAAGATTATCATGAAAACCGACCAAACAAGTCGTGAGTTGTACAGAATCACAGTATGCTTCAGTTCCTTCACTTCATATTCCAGCCTGTTGACCAAGCTGAGGGTCTTCAAGTAGACGCATCTGTCAAGGGGCAGGTAGTGGATGCCTCCAAACACATCCAGGATGTCTGACTGGTTCAGTCTCAACGTTGGAAGGTACTGTTCGGTGGTTTGGTAGGTTGCATGTTTATGCACCAATTCAATGGGCCAACATATTTTTAGAAAATCATCATGTAACATCTCTTTGCATTATCAAAATATCTTGAAGAAACCTTGTTGAAGAAATGTTCCAACCTATCCTTCAATGCTTCCATGTCAGAGTGACTCAGGATTCGTGAAATGGAACCATTGAACAACTGAATTCATAAATAATCAAAACAACATCAGCCAAATAAAACTGGACACAATAAAATATCAAAATCAATTAACAACTAACATTTCAAACGGAGAGCTATGTTGGACACATTTCATAATAAATGAGAAATAAAAGAAGACACCTACCTTGAACATGCTGTATGATTTTTCGAGAACTGCTTGGTACGTTTTGTCTATGACGTGGTCATCCATATATTCTATTTTTACACCATTTTCCGTTATTTTTTGTATCGTTGGAATGCTTATTGTCTGTTGAATGAAAAAATTTATATTTTTTAAATTATCTTAAATAAAAATACTCATCTTAAAATTCAATTAAAAAGTAATTTGATTGGATTGGTTGCATATTCACATATCACATATCTATTCCTGGCTCTCTTCAGCAAAAAACAAGTTTGAGGAAAAAAAACACAAACAGAAGAGTAGTTGAAAACCAGAAAGCTTGGATGGGACCATATGCAGCATCTTACTGAAGCTGAACAAGATGGCACAGACCTGCATGGCTGTGATTGGATCTGAATACTAAAAAATCTCCATCTACGAAATGCCAGAGTGTGCAAATTTGAACACAAGTGCCACTGGAGCTATGCATAAAAGGTTCCATTGTAAATATTTTCTATATTATTTTTGCTGAAATGAATTTGATCAGCTATGTTTGCTTGATACATCAAGAACCTGAAACAACCAACACCAATGTAATAAAATGGAATAAGTGAAGATTGAACTATAGCAAAACCTTAATAAAATTATATTATACATTATATCTCATTAATTTTTAAATTATTTATCAGTATAGCTAAGAAGAAATGTTATAAAATAAACTTTTCAAAGTGATGGTGTTATAAAGAGTAATGGAAGTTAGACACAAATCAAAGCCATGCAAAATGAAATCTGAAAACCACAATTTCTGAATGAAAATTATTAAAAAATGCTAACCATTACAATCCAGAAATCATTTTCTGGTCTGAAGTACAACTGTCGCGTTTTTTGAGTATGTAGGCTTTCACATGGTGACTCTGTAAATGTCCTTGTCAACCAAGACAATATGGTTATTATATTTTCAATAAAATTTATCACAGTAATTTGTAAACACAAATCTAGAAAATTATTAAAAAACTTAATGACAAAGTAGCATTTTTATGATATGAAGTTTAAATTACTTGTTTAGAGTTTTAGTAAAAATTAGAGAGCCCATTATCATTATAATTTAGAATTAATTGTCAGAATTTTGAAAAAATTCTGAGCATTATATGTAAATATTGAACTATTATCATGTACATTTTCTTCCACAAACAGCTTTAAAAAAATTTCTATTTTATAAATATGGTTGCCAATTGAACTTACTCCATAAATCTGATGATGGCTTCAGAAAGGCCGATAACTTTGATTTTGGCATCTAAAGAAGTGGATGAAGGATGAAAGTACAACAGTTTCTTATGTTCCTTTTAAACAAAATTGTAACAAAACAATACAATTAATAATTTTAATTAATTTAATTGTAATAATTAATAAAAAAAATTAAATATTAAAATTAACTAAACTAAAATAATTTATTTTAGCACAACATATTAAGATTTAAAAAAATTAAAAATTTAAATGTGACAAAACTTAAATTAAAGTTCTTTATTATTATATATTAAATTAATTGAAATAATAAAAATAAAAAATGAATTACCTCGCCCTCTTTCCTGCCCAGCAAAGGATTGAAGACAAAAAAATTTAAAAGCGATATTTCAGACGACTTGTGATGATGGTTCGCCATCGTTACCCTCCGATTGTTCACTTTTTTGTAAAAAATTCAAATGAATAATTTCACATTTGTGATGATAGGTCGAACAGAATTAAATTTTCAAACTTCGACCCAACTTCTCAGCGATCATCTGTTTAATTCTGCTTACATTTGACTTTAGCACACAGATCACAATTCGATAATTTAAATTTGACGACTGCCTCATTTTATTCATAAAATCACAACCATATACTTAAAATACTGACCAGAACTGACTGGCCATAAAGTTTGTAGCACAATGACAAATTCAGACAAAATATGTTACAAAATTTATGTACGTGGTGTTTGCGATAACTTTTGGCTTTTATGTACACCAACACCCATTGAATTATATAATTCCATGCCAACACCACAATCCTTTGTTCATTTATTTGGCTGGCGGCATGTCTTCGGTCTTCAGCATTTCACTGTCAGTTATCAGTGGCTGCCCATGGAATAAAACGCTTTGAAAATACGTATTAGAATGGTTCATTTGACTATATTCTAAATTGAATATATTAAATTTTGTCGATCTCATCCAGAACTACAATAATAACTAAGGCTAAGGCAACAAAATTTCATCAACGTTTTAAAATTTAAGGTCTTTTTAATTTTGTTAATTCCCACTATATGACTAGTAATCAATAAAAAACAATTTTTCAGTTTGGGAATAATTGAAAAGTGAAATAGACTGGATAACGAAACTACGAAACTACTGAGGTTACTAAAACACAGGTATTTAAGATCAACCTAGATCAAATGAAATTCAAAAGATTGAAAACTGAAAAATCAAAGTGGTTCTCACATAAATATTTTCTAAATCACTCTGAATTTACTGTTACCCTATCTTATCCAATGGGCAACAGTGGTTGTGTGCATTACTCTGAAATTTATGTTGGAATTGCCCCATCATGTGTTTTAGTGTGTGCGTGTGTGCGCGTGCGTGTGAGTGTGTGAGCGTGTGCGTGCGTTTGTAGTTAATGTAAGTGATATGTGACCAATGTACATTTAAATATAAAACACATAAGCGAGTATGAAGAGCTAGCTGGCTTACGACTGCAGTCCATATAAAAATGCCTGGATAGAAATAAATATCCAATGTTAGACAATAAATTTTAGATGAGTTCGAATACACACATCTTTTGTACGTACATTTAAAAATCATTTTTTTAATTTTGGATGACAAGCGTTTACAATAATAAAAACAAATTGAGCAAGATGCGACAAAGAAACTCAGAACCTTACATCAACTGTTGGTCTGCTGAAATTGGAGGTGTACTCATTAAAGTAACTAAGGGATTTCATATGAGATTTTAATTCTTGTATATCATTATTAGTATCATTCTCTCTAAGATATTCCTCAGAGGCTATTTTATTTTATTTTAGAGACTATTTTATTTTATTTTAGAGGCTATTTTACACTAATTGTTTTTATGGATAGAAATATAATATTTTTGCAAAACATAATTTTAGAACAACTTCATTACAAATTCGTTAATTGTTTTTGCCTTCATTCGGCAAATCACGTTAATCAATCCATGTGACATGATATTTTAGAAAAAATGTTATCGTTCCTGTTTACCTACTTACGAAAGTTAGAGGGAGTTATAAATAAATGAATAACTTACATTGTCAATGTCTCCATAATTTATTTCCAAGGTAAACTACATAGAAAAATATGCAGAGTTTGAGCCGAAATGCGACGCTGAGTTGGATCAGCCAAGAAGTCGTTTCTCCAACTCAGTTCTTCCAGGTCAGTGCTATAAAAGACTGCTTACACATTCAACAATTTTTTGCTTACTTCTATGTTTAATAAATTATTTTGAAATTATACCGAATAAACTTTTCAAATGTAAACTTCCATCAACATATTCCAATATTTTTAGTTTTGTTACAACGGAAATAAAATTATTGCAAATAAGAGTTCACCGGAAAAATTTTCAAAATAATTGCGAAAAACAAAGGAAATAATTTTATGACTAATCTGAATATGAATTATTTAAACAAAATTCATGTGCCCAAACACTTCTGCACGCTTAAATTGTACTCACAAATGATCGCATCACGTTCGTTCATGAACGGAGCATCATACGCTCGTCTTGTTTTCAAGTTTGTAGTAACAGCAATTTTAATTGTTTATCTGATTGTTCTATTTGTTCGTTTGTTTGTTTGTACTAACTGGACCTCGCTGACGGAATGATGAGCCTGAACCATGGTTCGACCAAATTATCATTATTGCTCATGCTATCATGTGATTTCATTCTTACATTAATTAAATATACAATGTTCGTTTCTGTTGTAATAAAATTATCCTATTTCCAAATAATTATGATTACATTTTTTTAATAACGTAAAAAATATTCATTTTCAATCATCATATAATAATAAAACTATTATAACTAAAAACATAAGAATGATGTTTCATAATTAGATAAGCTCTTCTTTTTATCGTTATACCAAGTTAGACCTATTATTTTGGTACTATACAATATGCATATATGATACACGTAGAATATTTTCTTATTTTTGATCAATTGAAACAATGCGATGTTTCCTTTCCAAAAATAAAAATAGTTTGTAGGTCATGGACGAGGATGTTCAAAAGTATCACGTGATGGTCACGTGATAATTGACCTCCTCAACAATTTAATATCGATAGCTGCGTTGTTGATAAATTTTGGATAACTTTGGTTCTAAATTCGAATATTTTAAGGTTTCTTCATACAATATGGCGTCGTTTCTTTAACAATGGTTTCATTATTCAGAACAACAGAGTGTTTAGAATGTTGAAGCACTTTTAATACATATTTTATTCTTATATTTTGGTTCATGATTTTTAAATTAAAGAGGAAAATATTAAACATTTTTTATAAAATTGACTAAACTTAAAACTTGAAAAAATAATACTTGGTGCGGTTCACCATTGCGATAGACTAAAATTTAATAAGAAAAAGGTTTAAATCGTTTGAATCGACAAATTTTTAAGCAAAGCCATGATATCAACAGATAATTATCATGAACATGTAAATAATTTTTATACCGCAATTAATAAACACTTTAATTTTTTACTGGATTGCTTTTGATTAAGTCAGATATGAATTCATTTAACAATGGTCAATTTATTTTCTAATATGCGGTATTAACTCGTTTGTTTTATAGTTTGACATTAATTTCTTAAACTCTTCTAAATAGGTCATTTTGTTTCAACTCATTTAAAACGATACTTATTTTGTGATTGGATCAATTATTTAACAAAATTAAAATCTTCATTGAAAATCATTGAAAAATCATTCATTGAATTGAAAATAAAATACTGAAAATGAAACCTCTTCCTATATGTTGATTGTTGACAGATGTTGTGTGCACGGGGACGATAATTTCCATGCACCCATCACTTTTACGTGAGCCAGCTGGTGGACTGCAACGTCAGCAAGTAAATCAGCCGGAACTTCACCGACCTCTGCAACCTGGCGATCGATGCGTTCTTTATTTTTCAAAAGAGTTCCAGCTACTCACTAGAAACGAGTAAATTATTTTTATTCACCAATTTAACTTTGCTATAAAATTTCATCAATGTGAATAATTTAAACCCGACAACTGTTTCCTTAGTTAATTTCTACAGCTCCTATAAACATTTTAATTTAGTAATAATATTCATTTGTTCATTATATTTATGGTGTTAAACTATTGAAATGGGATTTATTTGATACTACAGTATGTAATTTTCAAATGTCTATCATGTTTTAAGAAGTATTTAATTTGGAAAAAATAATTTACACCTATAGATTGCCAGAATTTATGCAAATACATGACACTGGCAGTCTCATCAGAGCACCTTCATCACTCAGCGATGAAACAGTTGCCAGAATGACTCGGGAGATGTTTTTTTGTTACACTGCATTCAAGCAAATGCATGCCAGGGCCAGTGAAGTAATGCAGATCTATCGGGGTTTTCAAATTAATTTCTACTTTTTTCAAACTAAAAATCCGAAACGACTTGCAAATTATTTTTGGTATAAAATGTTATTAATGATGAAATGTTTGTTGCAGTGGTGAATATTCTGATAGTTGGGTGTGCAGACGTTGGACTGATGACGCTGAGAATGTTGCTTGAAAGCGAGGACATCAAAGAGCGCAGTAGAATTGCATACGCCGATGCTGATGTCTGGTCCATCAATATGACTTGTTTTTATTTTGCTTCCTTTTCTATTTCTAAGATTGAACTAAAAATAAAATTTTAATTTGGCTTTCGATTCTCACTCTTATTTTCTTGAAATTTTTGTTCTATTCTAAAAATTAACTACCAAAAATTTTTTTCATCAGGCGAACAATGTTGATTCAGCTAGAAAAATGGGCTGTCGTCATTTCTTGTTTTGGAAAAACGAAAGTAAGTATGCGCTAACATAAATATGCATGTAAAATTATTCTTCAATATTATGTTACAATTTTATTTTCAAGCCTTTCATTGAAAACTTTTGTTTTAATTTTATAGATTAAAATTTTTTTAAATTGAAACTAAACTTGAAAACATAATTTTAAGACTACGAACCTGACATATTACGAGACACGCTTCATGAAATGCCAAAAGGAGCAGACATTATAATTGATTTCGTTTCATCTTACCGAAGTCTTTCAAGATCACTTCAACTCTTAAATAAGGTTTAATATAACATTAAATGAATAATTATAGTTTAATTAATGAAATGTATTAGTTATAAGAGTTGTTATATAAGCAAAACAAATTCATTCAGGGGGGCACAATGTTTCTGGCTGCTAACACAACATTTCTGTCAGCAATCTGCATTGATGCGATCTTTCGCAATAATATTTTAATGGTGCCCATAACTCTCGGATCAAGAAAGTTGATGACGGAATTTCTAAATCAGTCACCCAGCTGGAGCAGCATTGCGAACTTTCAAGTCAAATAACTGGTAATAATAACAAGTAAAATTGAAAGTCGTCTAGTAGAGTCATTTAAAAATGTACAACTTTAAATTTGAAAAAGAAAAATCAGGCTAAGAAAATGAAATTGAACAATTTGTTGATATAAAAAACATATCACGTATTAACTGTAAAATTTGTGTCGATTTTTTTAAAATTAGATTTTATGTAACAAAGTTTTTAAAAAAAGAGAAAAATAGTTGTTACAATCACATGTTAAATAAAATATATGGTTCAATCAATCAGTCAATCAATCAATCAATCAATCAATCAATCAATCAATCAATTAGCTGATAAAGGGCTATTTCCGCGATGTTCAACAGCGCTCCTCAATGAATTTTGCAAACAGATGGGTCTTGAGATCCGCTCTGAACTTCGTAAGTAATAGAGAAGTAGGTAGAGAGTTCCAGAGTAAAGGGCTAGAAAAAGCAAATGCAGATTTAGCAAAAGAGTGCTTAACACGAATTAATAAAAAGTGAGAACAAGCAGACGATCGTAAACCAGGGCGTTTAGGTTCAATTAATAACTGATAAGTATTTAGGAAATAATTTAGATTGAGACTTATACATAAATGTGCAAATTTTAAAAATTATTCTGTATTTCATAGGTAGCCAGTGCAAGAGAACAAGATATGGAGATATATAAGAAAAGGAGCACGAGCAAATAGACGAGCAGCAGAGTTAAAAGCTTTGCTTATAAGATAAAATGTAGAATCAGGAAGAGTGCGAGTTACAATAATCAATTCTAGATAAAACTAACGAATTAACAAAAAGGAGAAGAGTAGGATTATTAAGAAAAGGCAAAAATTTTTTATTCTACGTAGATGAAAAAAAGAACTTCTAGCAGCGCTATTAATCTGAGAAGAAAGAGACACACTAGAATCAAAGATAAAGCATAGACTACAAAACTTGTGAGAAACAAGGTAAGAGGGGGCTACAATAAATAAAGATTGCAATTTGAATTGTTTATTTATTGGAGGTTTTGCGTGTGCCGAAAATTTCAATTATTTGGTTATGAAAACAAATTGGTGAATATTTTTGCTTCATTGCAGACAATTTTTAACAATTTAGTGTCCAAACCATAATTAAATATCGTTCTTCTGAAGGCCCTTTTTTGCAAGGCCCCGATACAGTAGCCTTTGCCTTGTCTCAAATCCAGTCCAGTTCTAAATAATTGAATATTTCAAACATTGGAAACTAAAGAGAAACTTTGAATGACGACTACGATTTGCTAATAATGAATGTTTTCTATCTTCATTTTACATATAATATATATGTAAATGGTTTTTGTTGGTTTTTAAATGGGTGATAAAAAGTTATTAATTTTAAGAAGTAGGAATATCTGTTCTAGATTGTAAAAGCCTCAGTAAACACCAAAGCTACATAGTAATACAAACAATCGTCAACTTCGTTCTGCCATCGCACTACGTTTTAAGCAGCATAAAACAACAAACAATATTGCGACATGCTGCTCCTCATGTTTGGAATTCGCTTCCGCCAAAGATTAGGAACTGCAGCTCAACACAGTCTTTCAAGTCGTCATTAAAAAATTTATTTTGATCGAACGTTTTTAAACGTCTGACAGGATGTTTTTTGTTTCGAGGACGCCTCGGTCGCTTGCCAGGGCGCTTTATAAGTCAACATTATTATTATCACCATTATCATCTGCCTTTGTAAACCGAGCTCTTCTGATAAAGGAAGCAGGAGATTCGAACTAGATAGAATTACTAAACTACTCAATATAAAAATTCCATGATCCAGAAAATAATAGAACACAAAGAACAAAAAATCAACAACAACAACAATGCAACCAACAATAATAACAAAAATAACATAATAATATATTATTAGAACCACATATCAACCGCTTTCGAACAGGATGAAAAATCATGAAAAAGAATCATAAAAGATAACGTCCAAGCAACCAACGAAAACAATAGCATTAAACTACGAATATACTACTCCGACCAAAGAACGTCATCTCTTGTGACGAAAAACAACTGCACTAGTAAACCAGATCGATAATGGATCATAACCATCTAATATATTTGTTCAAATGTAATATTAGTGAGTGTGGGTACCATAAATCAGAATACATTTGTATGACGATGACCAAGCTATCGAGTAGGCTCACGATGCACGTATAAACTGGCGCTATTAAGAATCACATGAAAGAGAAACACAAAACTAAAATTACAAGAAAAATCTTTGATCCTAATGCTGAAATGCTAACCTCCAATAAATAAACAATTCAAATTGCAATCTTTATTAATTGTAACCATATATTTAATTTAACCTGTAATTGGAACCACTATTTTTCTCTCTTTTTACAAATTTTTTCCATTTATATATGGTAAGCCTCACTTTTCTGTCAACCTGCTGACAGCGAACGTTTACTCCACGGTTTACTCATCTGTTGTTATCACCGTCACTTTTCAACATTTTATTGCCGTTCCCAAAAGTAACCTGTTGTGCAATCAATAGACAAACTGTGAAAAGCGAAAAGTGGAAAGTACGCTAAAAAGACGTTTTTCTTTTGAGGTTATTTTTCTATTATAATACATATTATATAGTTTTGAATCATTATTATTTTACAATTTATAAAAAAACAACTCAAATGACTTGTTATCTATTCTATACTTGTGAGTTATACTGCAGTTTTTTGTTATAGCCAGCCCATGCCCCATAGGTTATGAAGTTAGTCAATTTCAATTAGTGACTATGAAATAGTGCCTATGAAATTCAAATGCGTAGTACAACGAATTAACAAAATTAGAGATCTGTTCGGAGTTTTTCTATGCATTAGTTATTTATAAAAATAAAGTGGAATGTCATGTTTTTTTTTGTTTAGAAATTTTATTTATTTTATTCATTAACAGATTAACTTATTTATTAACTCTAACTAATAACTCAATTTTTGACATTGAATTTTATTTGTTTTTATTGATAAATCAATTTTATCGGTTAGGATATGCCCCTTTCTTAGAAATAAACTAGAAATAACTACTGCATGAAAAAACTCAGGATAGATCTCTGATTGATCCTTATGAATCATAAACATAATCACAACAATTTTTAGAAGTTAGAATAAATTTAGAATAGAACTTTTTTATATAAAATCATTATTTTATTTTAAAATTTAAAAATTTATTTATTTTTAATTAATTCAATCATTGTCACAGTCTGACAATAATCTCTGACTTAACTTGACTTAACTTTGGCAGTTGATAAGTTTTATACTTAATAAGTTTTCTTAAACTTAACTTATAGAAAGCTATGAAATTTTGCTTAAAAATTAAAACTTATCGTGTCACACACAGAATCTAAATGTTAATAAAATGTCTAACGGACATAAAATATTTCAAAATGTCTAACAGTCATAAAATATTTCTGTGCTGTGGGCATACTATGCTTGCTTGGTGCACTAAGAATCAGAAGTGGATTTAAAAAGTTGCTTTCAGGACTCTGAACTGTGTGTGTATCTGTGTGTGTGTGTGTGGTGTGTGTGTGTGAGTTGAGTAGTATATGCGTGTACTTTGTACTATATTTACACTTTAGTGTATATTGAATATGTATGATATGTGATGCAAGTACTTCATTACTTCATTGAAATAGGCAGTCTTTTTTGTATAAGCATCAAAGCAACAAAGCATTCAAGTTGCTTAGACACAACAAAGACATGGTTAACGTTTTGAAAAATTTTTATTTGCAGTGAGTAAATTTGGTTGCTGTTCTATTTAATTAATATTAAATTCTTAGTTAAACATTTTCTGCCTCTAAAAGGGTTATACGAAAATAATTAAGGGGATCTTGATCATGATCTTTTCAAAATTATAGATAACTTATTTATTACGCTTCATTTCATGTTCACTTATATGTATTATGTTTAGTGTTTGTAAAATTAATAGTAAGAAAATGTTTGTGTATAGTTTTTAATGAACATTACATTTTTTTAAATTTTGTTGTTGATGACATATTATTTATTCTTGTAAGTGAATTTTAATGAAAATACGATTTTCTTTTATAACCTTATTTCAAATAAATATTACAGCTATCAACAAGATGTCGAGAAATCAGAGTAAAAAGACAGATAATGACAAGAAAAGCAGTGATTCAGATTTGGGTGCAACGATTTTAGCTGGTGCAGCAGTCGTTGGTTTGTCTGCTGTGGCAGCTTATGGTTTATACAAACTTTTTGATTCTATTTTTGAAGATGTTGAGAAAGAAAAGGATGCTGCTGAAAAACTGGATGAAGAAAGTTGTGAACGTCGCCAACCGAAGCCTGTTTCAACAGACCTGAATTTGAAAATCAATGATTGGAACAACAGTTTTAGTGTTCTCCCAAAAACAAACAAAGATGAATTGTTATTCAACTATGAGAAGAGCATCTTTATAGAGGAAAAATTTCTCACACCTTTGAAAAGGATTGTAGAACAAGTTCAGAAACGTTTTAGAGAAAGTATTCAACACAATTGCAATGTAAGAGGCATCAAATTTGAACAATTTATTAAGTGCGGATGGGGTAGAGATTTCTTTCTCATAAAATCACTGGATTATTTCACTTTTTTGGTTCCATTAACAATTGATTATTACCTGTTTGAAAAAATCCAAGCTGATTATAAATCTTATAAACTGAGTTCTCGCCATGATGGCTTGAACCAATTAAAATATAAAAATGAGCTTCTAACACCCACTTCCGTTGCTGAGTATATGTTGTTTAGTGTGAAGAATAAATTTGAGGAAATGTTGAAAATGGACAATATAGTAATCTCTCAAGTGAACATCACCGGCGGTTGCATATTTCTTATTTGTAATAGTTCTGCATCACCAGCTGTAAAAGTTAAAGTAAAAATGATTCCAGCCGTCAAAATTAATGATAATTATTTAGTACCAGCAGAAAATGATAGTTCATATATTTGGAAATTATTTTTTATAGATCAAGAAGATTCATTTTTGGCTCAATTTAGTCCACTCTCTATGTCTCATAAAATAATTTTCTCAACTTTTGTTAATATATCACTGACATTGAATGATTATTTTTCAGTCTTACACACAGAACACTTGAAGCACATAATGTTTCATTTAATTGAGGATCAACCCTACGAAGTGGATTGGGATCTTGAAACGGTTTTTGAACATTTTGTCGATTTTTTGATAGAGCTACAAAAATGTCTAGACAGAAAGGTTTTGCTGAATGTTTTCGATGAAAGTATAAACATGTTTTACGATTTGCAAGATATGCCAAGAAAAAAACTGCAAAAATTTATTGAAGAAATTATTTCTAACAAAAGTTGGAATAAACTGTTAAAATCAGGTTTTTAGTTAACAATGCTTTTCGATGGTGTAATATAACTGACAATTACCTATAGCAAAACCTTTAATTATATTGTATTGGTGGAAGGATAATAAATTTAATTGAGTCAAGCTTATTATGTTTGTTTTTTTGCCTTATATGTCTTTTATCCATTGTGTTTGTTTTCGACTTTAAAAATTCAAGCTCTAAATACAACAACACAACAAGAAATTAAAATTTTTTTCAAAATAAATAAAAATCGATTTCAAAACCATTGAAAGTTATCAAATTCAAGTGAGTTTATACCGGCCTTGTGTAAGATGAAACTACAAAATTGATGACACAGTGACAATGAATTAGAAATGAACCTAATTTGATTGGTCGTCTTCGTCAATTTTTAGGTTGCTGATGTTTGCTAGAGGTGTTACGCCGGCTATGTTGAAGGCCCTTGTCGCTGCTTCGGCGACCACCATTTTTGATTGATCGACCAAGTTGCAGCCGACATCGCACGAACATCTTCGCATTTCATTTCCTGTTTTTGAGCAATACAAATATTTTTTGGCGACTGGCAGTGACAAGTTACTATTTAAATTTTGACTTGTTTTACTTTCTTGACATTCTAATCTTTTTTTAGCGCTGTGTCCTGATATTGCAACAGGAGAAGTCGAATTCAATTTTGAAAAGTCAACGCTGTAATGACCTTCTTCCGGTTTATAACTTATTAAATGATCAAATCTGTGACCCCACAATATTTCGGAAGGTAGGTAAGAGGTTCTCGCCTGTGTCGTCATTCCGGTTGATTCAACAATACCTTCCATGATTACTAAAATTTCAAAATGTCTGTGAATGAGATCGGTGGCGGAAATATCCCATAAAGGACTATCAGATATTATTTTATGTTCAACCGTGGCTGGCCACACCAAAAACAACCTACCTTCTTCGTCGCTGGTTTCTAGTTTGAGACTTTTTTGATAAAATGGCAGTACTTCGCCTTCTTTTGTTATGCGTTTGCACACCATTATTGCTCTGACGTGGGCTTCGACTATTTGCGACTTTCGCATGTCTGCAACTCTGAAAAGCAAACACAGTTGATCGTCTCTTTCACATATAACGGCTTTTTCACTAAACATTAACGTTTCAGCTCTCTTTTTAGGTCTACTTATTTTGGCAAATACCAATCCTGTCATGAGAGCTTGTACAACAATGCCAAAACAATTTTGAATCATAATTACGATTATGGCAATAGAACAGTTTGGAGTGACGTTGCGAGATCCATATCCTATTGTTTGTTGGGTTTCCAGGGAAAATAATAATGCACTTGGAAAATCAAAAACCTCGATAACACAAGGTTTCCAATCAGATACGTTTCTGTTTTCAATATCGCCATGTGCATAGCTGATGGACCACCAAATAAAACCGAAAAATATCCAACTAGATGCGAACGTTGCAACAAATATCAGTAAACTAAACCGCCATTTGAAATCAATTAGTGTAGTAAAAAGATCAGCTAAATAATGACGACCTCTTTTGTTGATGTGAACTAAAGATATGTTACTATCACCATTTTTTAACAATATACGCCTTTGCAAGGAACGTGGTAAAAGCCAACGAAAACTATCCATAGCTGAATGAACAATAGCTTTGTCGGTATCGTTACTTTTTTTGTGTTGATTGAAGTGAAGTGACTTATTGATTGACATTAGAACCTTCGTCATCTGATGTCCGCTTTTTTCTTTTACAAAATTTATAAAATTCAGTAGTTGGTTGGTTTGAAAAACAATAAAAGATTTATTATAATCCAATCAACAAGCATGTTTAATCGCACATGAACTAATATGATCCATAATTTACTTGAACTACGATAACTGCAAACACAGAGATAATTAGTTTTAAAAAATCTTAGCAAGATTGTAAAACAACAATAAGAACGTTAAATGTTGATTTGGAGGCAAACTGTTTAACTTGAAATGCTTTGTTCGTCAGAACATTCTAAGTTACACGATGCTTTATATATTTACATACACTCTTATAATATATATACGTATTTATATACATGTACGCATGTATTAAGCAAAGGTATATCAAATATGCTGTAAAGATCTCGATGATAGATAACTCGTCTGCCAAAAGCATATTTTTTTTGAAGGTCATAATTCATCGACTCTATTATAACGATCGACACTGAACTGCCACATGTATGAAACTTCTAAATTTTTTTAGTTTATACTTTATAAGAATAAGTTTTTAAACAATTTTATACGTGTTTTTACATCGATATTTCTTTCGTCGCTTTTATCATGTCAACAGTTTCGAAATGAACTATATTTTTCACTTTAATTATAATTTTCGCAGAGTTTCAATTCAGATATTGTATTCATTATATAACAGTATATGTTTTAAAGGCTGTTGATCTTTGGTAGGCTGTTACATAATTGGGAAACAAGCGTGAAAAAATACGGTATTTATGTATGTGTTTGTGTGTGCGTATGTACATATACAAACTTTATACATATATATTTATATAAATATATATTATATATTTATATTGTAAAATGCGAATGGTTGTCTAATTTTTTAGTTGATTTTTTAACTTTTCTTATTAATAATAAATAATCTATTCATTTTTAATATATTTTATTAAATTTTTAATTTTAATTAAATCACTGATTCATTACATATTAAACCATTAAATACACACAAAGACACACATATATATGGATAAATATATGTATATATAAATAAATAAATAAATATATATTTAATCATACTTTGTATATGTAAACGAACAATTAAAATTTGCACGCCGTACATACATACACGTTTCGTACTCACTGGGAATACAGACATCTGATGCTGAGTATATATGGATAGGTACCTAATATATATTATTATTATTATCATCATCCATCATATGGTTAAGAACGCAATGCCCGAAACTTTTTACAAAGAACGTAAATGTTTATTTAAATTTAATACCTCGCTATGTATCGGCTATGATTTTCTTTGGTAAAAAAGGTCTTATTGTTATTATTATTTTTATGAATGTGAATTCGACATATGATTTTAGTTATTAAAACTATGTAATATGATGAAAATTCATTTGTTCATATATCCTAACGAAAAAATTGGGTTTTTTGTTATGGATTTATTCTTTAATTTTATAGCGTATCAAAACAAGCATTCATTATAAATTCGTTATCATTTTGTTTGCAGTTTGCACTTCAAACAGCGAAGCTTCTTTTTTACGTTCATAAAATTTAAAAAAACTATGTTTTGGTTTGAGTAATTAAGTAATTAAATTCAATTTTATTTAAAAAAAATTGTACTTTTGTCGTAACTTACTTCTCTGTTTAACAAATAATCGGTTTTGTAACTTCTCTTGTTTTTCATTAATAGATGAATTTGTTTTTGAAAGGCTTACACCAGAAATGGAAAAAAATTGTTAACTTGCAGTCGAAAAATTAACTACTTTTTTTGCAATTTTTAGAAAATTTAGGTTTTTTACCTGTTGGAGCGTGATGGCTCAGTTGCCAGTTGCACAGACATCTAGAGCTAGAAGTGTTAAATTTCTGTTGTTTTTTGATTACAATTGTACCAGCACCATGTACCGAGTTAGCATATTAACATGAAGTCCTCTTGCTAGTCATTTATATGGGATAGTAATTTTTGTTCAGAAAGAAGTTTAATTTAATACTACAACCCACGTGCGTCATAACTTTTTCATAAGTTTGAAACTGCTCTAGGAATTCCTGTCCTTTTTTAGGCTCAAATAATGTGATAGATTTAAAAATTGTAATGTCAATAGGATTGAATTTTGAGTGAAATTTAGCGTTAGAGTTTTTAACAAAAGTTAAAAAAAAGTGAAGATGGGAAGATGGTCGTAAAACGGGCCTTCACCATCAGTGATGTTGTAAATAATAATTGTTAAAATACGTTTGGCGTGATTAAATATGAATAACAATAACATGAACAACATACAATTCATCAAGTTAAAAACTGAAAATTATGGTATCGTTTAATGATGCCAAGTCACTATAAGTTTGTTTGATTTTATCTGAAGTTAGATGTTTTTTTTTATTTTTGACTTTTGAAACTAGCAAATAAAAAAGAATTGTTTTTAAAATTTTCTTCTTGGTAACAATATTTTCTTTTCACTTGTCATCGTGTTTGGATATAATTATTTTTTATAGTACAACTGGCTTGTCAAAACAAAAATAAAAACAAAGAATATACTATAAATCAGCCCGTTGCAAATAATGCTTTTAACCTGTTTGGTCGTTGCCTTACTTTCTCAACATTACTCTTATAAATATTTTCTATTTTGATAATTAGAAACTTATCACGTCAAACAGTTTTTAAATTAAGGAAATTTGCTTTGTCGAACCTTTAAAAAACATATTTTGTTGGGAATTTTTTGCAGAAAAGATTGTAAAATGAGACCAGGCACTGTCAGTGTTGAACATGATGTTTTCACGATGGATTCATTCAAACAAAACGCTAGTTGAACGATTGCCGAAATCTCAATAAAAAATTTTAACTGTTGGTTTTTGTTCACTGAGTCATATCGTCAACATTCCCGTTAATTCGCTTTGACGCCTTAAGTTAACAATATTGTATCTTCCAGCCCTTCTCTGGCTGAAACCAAAGATTATTTATAGATTAGTTGGTGAGATTGGTATAAAAAATTAGATGCTGCTGCTAGCAGCAAGATCCAAATGGTAGTCCCACTGCATATCAAAGGTTTCAATGTCCTTGTCACTGCCAACTTCTCCAATATTTTCGAAACTTTCATCGTCGTCCTCGTCATCATCTTTTTCACTATGATAACTATCTTTTCACATGGCAACACGTGCATCGCATTTACCACGTGCGTCGCAAAAATTACAGAGGTCGCAGGAAGGATTGATTTGCGATCGCTAACGTAATTGTAGGTAGTTGAATTTTCTGATAAGATGTCAAAATCTTGTAGACCCGTTGCTGGTTTGGTTAAGCACAATTTTCGCTCCTCCGGTTTGTTGTCTAAATTTATTTTTGTGTTGTTTTCGTTTGTCACTTGGACGTGTTTATCTTCACTATTCAGTTGCTTGATTCATCCTCTTAATACTGCCTTGAAGTCTCTTGTGTGTTGCTCTTTTTTTCCTTTATTTCGTCAAACGTGTCGTTTAGTTTCGTTCTGAAATGTTTTGATTGCTGGCCGATCTTGTCGTCTTGTTCTTGGTCGACCTTATTTAGTTTTCCTGTCTGTTGATTGAATCTTCTATTAAAATCGACTTTTAATTCGGCATACTGTTGTTTCAGTTCTTCCAAAGAAACGGGTATTTATATTTTTTTTCATTAATTATATGCAAATGTGGAAAAATATATTTTTATTTAAAATTATATAAACTTTAAATTTTGAAAATACCTTTTTCTATTTTTCACCTCTAAGTGAAGTTTAGACTTTTTATTGTTTTCTTTTCTCTAAAGTTGCATTTTGTTTTAAAAAGATTTCGGTTACCTTGTATTTTAATAAACTAATTTTAGAGAAATTTTCAAGATTTATTTTTTTCGAACTATTTTATTAAAGACTGATTTATTGGTGAGCCACCCTTTTCAAAGCCATATTTTCTGATCTTTGCTGATTTTCGTTAATTTTATAGTTTGACGGTAGAAGTAAATAGAATTGGCTGGCTGGATAGTGCTTAGCATTAGCTACATACAACGAGAACTAGAAACGCGTTAATCATCACTACACATTCATCATAATTAATTTACAAATTAATGTTGCACTCTGATCCCAATAGAATTATCTCAAAGTTTTAATTTGCAGGAAGCTTGAAAAAAAAAACAACAATTATTTTCATTTAATAAAATTTATTTAAAATTTTTTTTATAGTTTATGAATTTTATGAAATATTTAAGAAATATTTAAATGATAATTTTATTTAATTTAAGGTTCCGGTCCGGCAATCTCTGCACCATGTTTTTCAGTTTATTCATATTCTTGCTTGTACCTTGAAGCGGCCCAATGATTTTTGTTTATCATTTCTTTAAGTTCGCCCGAACTCACAATGCGATTTAAATCTTCATAACTTCCAAAATATTTATGACTAATGAAAATTCTTGGCACCTGGGGTTTGTTTCAAGTTGAAACAGAAAAAAGTTAATCTACAATCTACATTTAAAATAAAATTGATGAATCTTTTAAATTGTTTTTAAATTTTCCAATGAAACAAGTTATTAAAAAATATTCACGACAAAACGTGACACGACTCAATTAACTGCATTGCCAACGATATCGAAAATTCAATGTTTAACCTTGCGACACGGTTCGTTACAAATTTTCATGAGGTAAGTTTCAATCAGGGCACAGTCTTGTCTCTTTTCAATGTTGCAAATCTCAAAATCTCCTTTGTAAACTTTTAGGGATTCGAGTATGAGAGCTGTTTCTTTGCACTCTGGTACGTATGATTTTGAAAATACCATTATTGGACGCTGGGCTATTTTCGTATTTATAAAATCAGTAGTTGTTTTAAGAGATAAATAATTAAACTTCTGGCCTTCAGCCATTTCAGCAGCTCTCTATATCAATTACTAAATTTGTTTTTATTTTAATTTCTTTATGTAACGTTACAATATACAAAGATAATAGACAATAATAATAAATTAAAATTTAATCCCGTCATGATTTTTTTTCTTTGTGTTTTCACCTGTTAATATGACGTCACGATTTAAATGTGAAGTCATTAATTTCAAATATGGGCAACAATTTCATAACTTATAATTTATTAAGTATAACTATTATTTATTTTGCTTATTGGTGTTTTTTTTAATTAGAAAATTGAAATTTAAGGACATGGTGTTAGAATATAAACGATACCTAGCATCTTAGTGGCGACGACCGCTCGTATTTGCTGTCAACAGCCAATGCAACAATCTTCTATTAGTATTTTGTCATAGAAACAGCAGAAGAATCTAAACTGAATAGTTCATCTATTTTCTTTAAACAAAAATTGATTATACTACTACCTACATATTAAGTAGAAAAAATAAGGTTAAATTCGATTCAGTCAAGTCTAAAATACACTGGACCAAAAGTATCTGACAAAATTTCTTCTGAAATTAAGACAATTTTTTTCATGAGAACACAATTGGAAAAATTGATTAGGAAGAACTATATCTTTCTGCAAAATCCTTGAAAAATAATTTGACTTTATACACATTATAGAAGTCAATAAAATGCTTACATTTTAATAACAATATCAATTTATAATTCAATTCAAATGCGTGAATTGCCTTACTTTTTCAAAATTAACAAACCTTGTGATTATTAACACATCATTACTAAATAAGCATTAATTTTGTTTGTAATTAATTCTTTTAATAAGGATCCTTATGGTAGCCTGCCACATGCAAAAAAAGGTATCACTTTTGGCTTCCATGCAGTAATAACGAGTAAAGTATGTAGCACTTATCAAGTATCAAAATTTGTATATAAATACTTATACTTAAGTATCTGCGAAATATCGCACCTATACTTAAGCCTTTTTTCTGAAAATTTTCTCATAAGCACTGAAATAATTTTTTATTTTCGAGCTTTAGTTAGTTTCAATTTGACATTTCTTTTTGAGCCTGATTTCGGATTTGAGCTGGATTTTGGCCACTTAAGTTTGAATAGATATATATTAATGTATGTATTTATGTTTGTGTATATTGTTGTATAAATGCATAAATATATATATATATATATATATATATATATATATATATATATATATATATATATATATATATATATATATATATATATGGTTCAAATAGTTAAAGCAAATGAAAGTTATGTTTTAAGAATCATCAAATTCTCTCTAACAAAAATATCAATAAATAATATATATATATATATATATATGGGACAGGTGGCGAATTATTAATAAAATTCTATGCAATAATCAAATGTGATAACTTATCAGAGGCAAATGTCAGTCACACAGCTTGTGATTTTATGAAATTTTTCACAGATAAAGTTGCAAAAATTAGTCATTGTGTTAAGTCATCTATAGAAAAACTTCAAAATGCGCCTCATTAGAAATAGCGCTCCGGCAACTACCCAGGCTGACACCCCTTTGCTACGCCACTGTAATGACACGTAAGTGTTATATTGCACTAAATTGAATCTAGTAGTGTATTCGCATGAAGTTATTATCGTTAAATTAAATTAACAAAGACATAATTCACTCTAAACAAACAAGGAATTAACATTGTAGAGACAAAGCATACGTATAATTGAGCATTTGGCCACATGCACAACATATCAATTCTCAATATCAATCCGATTCTCTTTAATTTGTATGTTGCAGAGATACTGGATTTACTGAAAAAAAGTGGTTATTATTTCCATGGGTACGCAGATGACAAGCTGATTTGTGTTTCAGGTTTTCTAGATGATATGCCTACCGTATTAGAAAAACAAACAAAAACTTTATCTGATGTCGGCTCGTGGCTGGGCCAAAGTAGGCTAAAGTTGAATCAGATCAGACTAAGAATCAGTTTATGTTGGCTGGTACATGGCAACAAACGTCAGCGGTTGAAGAATCATGCTCAAGTTGGGTGTAATGTTATTTAAAAGTATGAATGGTTTGGCTCCGAAATATTTAGAAGATAAATCTATTAGAGTTTCATCTATGTCATCACATGGGCGTCTTAAGTCTGCTGATTCAAACACGCTGTATGTTGGAGATCGGAATCTGAAAACAGCAGATAGAGATTTGCAGTTGCTGGGCCTGTTTTTTAGAACAGCCTATCTATCAAATTACGTATATCTGGATTATCATTAGCTGAGTTTAGAAAATGTCTATAGACAATAGACAAACCTATTTGGTAACTCCTAGTGAATTCCATCGATGATGGCTTTGCTTTCAACATGCTTTATACGAGGAGAGCGCTGATGAGAAGCAATTATAATTGGCGCTATATAAATACAAAATTTGATTTGATATATATAATGCGTGTATGTATATTAGCACCATAAGCGCTGCATAAACTCAGCACAACAACACAATAGTATACTACTGTATTCAACAATACAATAGTACAGGTACTATTGTATTGCTGCTTATATAAAATTTCACACATATCTTTTTATTTCTTTCATTAATTTATGTTTGCATCTATGTACTGTACACATACCTCCGTATACGGTAAATGTTTACATGTATTTTTGCAATGTAGCTACTTTATTGATATCTCATAGAGTCATATAGTAAAAAACTCGATTCAGATTTATTTGTTTGTTTATATACATTATATATATATATATATATACATATATATATATATATATATATACAGGTTTATATACATTACTTTTATTTTTTCTTAACCTGTCATAACCTAACATCGCTTATTATAAAAATACTAACACATTTCATTAGGTACAAATGTTGGGAAATATTTTCTTAAAATTGTCCAAGTTGAGAAACAAGACAAAGATTTTTGGCATCGTTGTTGCTGTTTGTCTCTCTTGTTGGATTTTGTTGAGTATCGCAAGCCAAATCAAGGTTATATTTGATTTTAATAAATTATTTTTATTTTAATCTAATGAAACTAAATTGTGTAGCAAAATAAAACCTCTCTAAAATGTCACCTTATGCAAAAAACTAAGAAATACCTGTTGGTTTTATATTTGAAGCTTATACAACTTTCCATTAATCAGTTTTAACCGTTAAGAAGTTTATAGTTTATTTCACAGGGGACGAAATATAAATATTTTATAGTCTTCCTTGTGATAGAGGAGCCTAACTATGTTTTCGACGAATTATACACTTGTGCGCATACATTTATGTGCGCGTAGAACACACGCACGCAGACATATTGTTATAATTAGTGTCATTGTTATACAAATTATATATAACGCTAATTCAAACCTCTCTAATAAAAGCCATTTTGAGATTGACTGAAAATACTAAATAAAATGAAAAGATGCATCAAAACATCGTCACATTTGAAAATAATTACAAAATAAAAAAGTGTCAATGCTCAATCCCGGTGTTATTGACAATTCTGGCAACCCGCTGCCCGCAACTGGCCTGGATAGAGTTGTGTTCCTTGATACCGTATGTAGTTGATTAGTGTTAACAACTATCAAAGTCTTTTCATTACCTTGAATGAACATCTGTTGTAACATTCGATCTTTTTTAAGTTTTTCTATTAAATACTGAAACTAACGTCTATTCATAGCCTTGAACATCATAACGCGTTGATTGAATTGTTGTTATGGATTCATTTGGGATCTGGACGTGAATGTACAGATGCGTTCTTTAAGGATTGTGCAGTAGATTTTTTGATGATTGGTGCACGATATAATCGGTGCAGTTGATTCGAACAAGTTGAAGAAAACATCTCCCAACGATTTATCATTGACAATCTGCAGCCCAATATATATCCCAAGTTTGATCCTTGAAAAAATTTAAATTTTCCTGCTCCAATGGGTTAATGAATCAATGTCTTTTCCTGACAAGTTTGTATTAGAAGGAAATTTGAATTTACTTACATTAACTTAGTTTGAGACGGTTTTTAGACATCCTGATGCCAATTTCTGAAGACTACAAATAAATTCAATTTTAGAACATAGGTTTTAGGCTATGGTTAGATCATGCTAATTTTATTATTTCAAGTTTGTTGTTATAATAAAAACTACTGGTTCTGCTCAGTTTTGGAAGTCTTTCATTTCACATAAAAACTTGGAGTGCATACATCGATGATGTTTCAATTTTAAAAGGTTCTAATAGAAAAAATATAAAATAAATTGACTTCAATAAGATTATTGAAGATATATTTTAGTGCTCAGTCATCATAAATTGTTAAGTTATAGGTAATTATTGTTTAATTGTAGGGTAATTATAATTGTCTAATTGTCATTTAATTATATTAATCAAATATTCATACACTAAAACCCATAATATATAACTTTTCAGACACCTTTGTATGCAGTTTATGAGTTGCCACCGTCCACCATCATTCTGGAAACTTCCAACAGCACAGAAATAATAATTGATACTGAACACCTCATCGCCCTGGATCGTTTGGATAAGTTGTCTGGTGCGGAGTTGGAAGAGTTGTACGAAGCGTAAGTTGTTTATTTGAGGTTTTTTTTTACAAAATTTTCATATAAATTTCTTAATTAAACAAATATTTACTGCATAAAAATGTTGGAATTTATATTTTACATCCCGATCTTGTTATGAAATACTGCTAAGGTTTTAATTAAATTTTTATTTCACGCAAAACTATGTTTGTTAAAAAATATAAAGAATAATAAGTACTATTATAATATTGTTTTTTGTGTAGCAAAATTATCCATTTTTCATGTCGTTTAAATTATTTAAAAAAACTTTATTTGAATTAGGATTGTCTCAGCTTTATTTAGCTGTTAGGAACACATAACTGCTAACTGTAATAATACGAAGTGAGAATGTTTGTAGTGGTTTAAAAAAGAAAACAACAAGTTTGATGTTATTATAAAATCTTTGGAAGGTGACAATTATAACGCGTTATATTGAGAGCTATTTTCATCGAGTTTGATGAAACGAGCCAAGTATTCAATGGAAATGATTTGCATTGATTTGCTATATTTCTAAAGGGAAATTTTATAAAATCTTTTCTTTAACGCTTCGCTAAAAATTTCAAAAAACTAGAATAGTATAAAATTAGTTTATCCGTGTCTGTAATTTTTAAACGAGATCACACAAATTTTATGGGAGGATCGGTTTGAATAACATGAATAATTTTAAAAAATCAATTATAATGTAAATCTTTTTAATCACTGGCACGAACGAAGCCGTTTTGGTACAGCCAGTTAAAAATAAAATGTTATCCAGTCTTGTTTAAAAACATTTGAAATTTGTGTAGAGATTACATTTGACGTTTTTAACGTAAAGATGAACTGATTTCAATTTTTTTAATTTTTCATAACATTTGTAAGTTTCCTGATTTGGTGGGCGTTGAAGGTTACAATTTAAATCATTCAGTGTATCGAACAGCGCAGAAATATCGTGTCCGAAAGTGATGAGGCTTGGCAACGGAGAGGAAGGAGGCTGGAACATCTGTCTCTTCGCACAATTTGCTCCAAAGGAACCATGTCTAGTCTATTCATTTGGGCTGGTTGACTCGTTTTGTGTCTTACTTCCTTATTAGCCTCAAATGAACATTAGTTTTTCCAGTTCATCGGCAACTTGGTTTAACAAAAAATTTTCATTAACGAATAATCCTAAATTAAGAATAACGGATCAACTTCAGCATTTTGTCTGCAGTGTGAGAGATGAATGGTCATTTGAAGAAGGTGTAGAAAGAATATTCAACTGTACTATCAGATCATTTGACCCCAGGTAACAATCTTTTTTGCATAACTTTTTATTTTATTTACTCCATTATTAAAACCTTTCAGCAAACAGGAAAATAATTTTTAAATATAATTTCAGCATGAACAAGGGAAACGCAAAACATAGCAAAAACATTTTCTTCTACTCAGAAGCGCTTGCTGGCTCCGATGGATTCAACTCTGATCTGTGGAGACTCAACAAGCTGTCCACGCTGCGGAAACTATTTCGCGAGGATGATGTATGTTTATTTAATTAATTATTATTAAAGCTTTGATTTTTGTGATCATTGATATAATCCAAGACGTTGTCTAACGATTCGTCAGTATATTGCACGAAGTGTGCTCAAATGGTTTGCTTCGTAAACAGGTGTGTGTGGGTGTGTGCATTTGGTTGGGTGTGGATAGAATCTTTCAGAAATAACACTGCATTTTCTGCATTGTTCAGCTTGTAGCTTATTTTCTCAATTGATTAATATGTTAACGATATTTTGTCTAATTCATTCAGGCTGCTAAACAAAATTTTTCTCCTTTATTTACGTTCTTTTTTTTATTATTTATTATACATCCTACATAAAAAGCTTTTATGGTAACCCTCGCCGATTAAAACAGCGCTTCTCAACCTTTTGAGATTCAAGGACCACTTAACAAGTGGTGAGTCTTGAGCTTGCACAGTTGAGCTTAGCTTATCCAAGCGAGGCGTAATGCTTGAAAGACACAACCGGAGTTCATCTTTTTCATTTTTTTTTATTTAAAAAAACTTGCACTTCACACTTTGCTCGCAGACCACCAGGCAAATGTCCATGGACCACAGGTTGAGAACCGTTGAATTAAATAATTTGTATTTCAATATTTCAAGGAAAATAGCCCAAATGAATTACTCTTCAATTCTTAGAAATTTTTGCGAGTCGAACTATTGAGTGATAACGTTATTTATAAACATAAGAGAGTGAACTCAGATGTTTTATGCCAAAAGTAATGAAATTTGATCGTATAGTTCCTAAAGAACGGTTAGAATATTTGCCTCAGTTTAATTTTGCTACTCAGTCACCAGCCAGGATTCAATGGACAAAAACAGTCTCGTTTCTGTATAAATGTACTGTATATAAGTATCTAAATTTTATTGTTTTTTTTTAATAATTTTATAAATTTCATTATATAGGTCATCTTAGATTACCTGAAAATTGACGTAGAATATTATGAATGGGAATCATTGCAATCTGCCATTGAAGAAAATTCTCTAGCGAACGTCAAACAAATAGGAATTGAACTGCATAGAGATGAAATTTTTAAAAAGCCAACAACAGCTGAACATTATAAACAATTTTTAACGATACTGAATAATTTGAGAAAAATTGGCTTTTATAGATGGTCAGCACATTTGAATCCTCAAAGCTTATCAGCTCTTTCCAATTTTACAAACAAAACGGTCATGTGCTGCCACGAGTTTACCTTCATCAGTTCGAAATTTGTAAAATAATTTTTTTATATTGATTCTGTTCGATTTGAAAAGTTTATAATAAACATTTGTGTCAAAAATGTTGAGATCATATACACAAGCAACAAATTTATTTAAGCCTTAGAATTGTTCTGTTTATGTAATTATTAGTCAAGCAGTTATTTGAAAGTTTATTATGAAATGATGCAAGTTCATGCTCGCATTGGCGTTTTAATTTTTGCACTGCACCTTAAATACTCTGTAAAATATAAAATTGTTTTTGACTTTGGTCTGGTCCATTGGTGAATCCGACTCAGTAGACCTGGGTAGACTCAAAATTTTTAATTCAAAGTGCATCTAAATGTTCATTAAAACAATTCTGCATTCAATTGTTTTACCTTGATGGACTTGCTTTTGAAGAGATATGAAAACAACTGTGTGTTGACCTACCTTGTGCCAGTTTCTATCAAACTTAAGAATTGAACTCAAACTCTTTTTGAAGACATATTATTAATGGATGGAAGACTAGACTCTTTTATCATTGCGGCATTGTTTAACGCGTGAATGTTGTCACAAAAAGTTTGAATAGTTTCGAATAGAGGTGGACATGGAAATGGAAATTGGAATGAAAAGCTATCTTCGTCCATCTCTAGTTTCAAATGGCTTACGTGTTCTGAAAAATCACTTACAGGTCCAATTAATTGGATTCCGTGTTATGTATGATGAAGTTGAGTTTGGAAGATCCTAATTTTCGATTTGATTCAAAGACGTAACACAAATAAGAGCAAGAAAATAACGCCACATTATTTGAGCATGAAAACTATGATTCATTTTTGCTACATTTGTATTTAAATAGAAATAAAATAAAACATGATTATTTAAAATTTGAATTTTTCGCCGATGAATATTATTTAAATAATTTTCTATTGTTAGACTTTCAAATGAACGAGAAAAGAGTAGACAAAAAATTAAAATGACAAATGATCTTGTGCAAATAAAACCGCCCAACGATCGATAGTTTCCACAGACAATGGCTTTCCTCGCAGCGACTACGACGATATGTTACTTTTGTTACTCCTTTTATTCATTCCAGTATTCTGGTATTTCCAGTTCATTACACATTCAATTTTAACGTGAACGCATGATGTTATATTATATTTACAAATAATGAGGTGCTCGCAATTCTAAGTATATTTCATTTAATTATTTTTATTTATACAAACGATACAAAATAAAATTGAAGTATTATCTTTTTTTTTCGTCAGCAGATTTGTTGAAAGTCAATTATATTTTTACTATCTATATTAACTTCAGATATTTATTTATTTATACGTTTGCTAGTTTGATTATTCGCTTCTTCTTGTTTATTAGCTTGTTTGGTTGTTTATTTGTTTGTTTATTTGTTTGTTTGATTATATATCTTTTAATCGGTTTTTAAGCAGCTTCCCTCTCTACTCCTAATTAAGCTTGCAACCGTAAGAACACAAAAACTTGTTATCAGACTTAATCGACGTAAGTGGATTAAAAAATTTTAATAAAGTCTTTTAATTTGTAGAACTAAGGTCTGACAATACGAAGTGCTTTTAAAAATCATTAGCAACTATACCTACTATAGCTAGTAACAAAGATAAATGTTAGAATTATTTCATAAAAAAGGAACGTGGTTAAAATACATTTTTTTACAACTTGTTCAGTTTAACAGTTTAATTTTTTAACAGTTTTTTTTTGTATTTCACAAATATAACTTCGAAATTTAAACATTTGAGTCTAAGTGCAACTCTGAACGGAAAAACGTCACTTAGCGACACAATAAGTATATGAGTTTATTTTAGTGAGTAATTTGATGTTGTTTACAATGGATTATAAATGTGTTAAAAATTATTTGGAAATCATTTCGGTGAAGGAAGGTTTATTAGGAAGTTCAAAGTGATAAAAAAAATGGCCTCAAGATACTAAAATAAATATTTCAAAGAAAAGTCAGACCTACCCAAATGCCCCGGAGATTGCCGGCGCTCCCTTCGTGTTTCAGTAATTTACGTAATTTATTTTTGCTCAAGACCAGTCTTCAGCAAGCAACGCAAAATTATACGTAATGCTAACAAAGTTTACCCTCGACTGCAACTTAAGATGCATTCGGCACTCTCTATGGCGTGATGGTCTAATGGTTAAGGTCGCCTGGTGCTTTTTCACAGTAACCGAGTTCGAATATGACAAAAAGATCCTCGCCTATCACATGCTTCGTGCGTGATGCGTCGTTTAGTATGTATTCATTTACGATGTTTGTGCGCTTTGTTGAGTCCTCTGAACTTTGGAAGAGTGTAATTGACCTTTAACCTCTATGGCCACTACTTTATTAATAAAACTACAGCAGTTAAGATGCCATTTTGTCATATTTTCACGCATAAAATTGTAAAAAAATACAGAGCGTCGGAGTCGGAAATTTTTGCGGGAGTCGAATTTTTGGAGTGGCAGGAGTCGGAGTCGGATATTTTTCATCCGACTTTGACGCATTGAAAAAATCTCAACGTTTATTTGTACAGGAATATTTTTCTTGGGGTGCACCCCCTGACGAACGTCATTATAATATACAATTAACATTAACATTGTTAATAAATGTTGTTTATTTTGATGATTTTGCATTTTAGTGCATATTATTATATAAATATTGATACACAAATATACGTGACGCGAAGCAAACAACGCCTAAAAAACTTAGGCTTGTAACAAACAAACAAATTTAACTTTGTAAAAAAAACTATGCATTATAACAAATCTGTTGATAAACTGGAGATGATTTTATTAACTCTACTGGAAGTGGATCATTTGGCTTCAATCTAGTCGTGTAAATGAAAGATCATCAGACGGACGATGGTAATGTTTTTGACATGCTTGACAGGCTTTCGGTGCTGTTTCATGAACTGGATGTGCAATAACTCTGATTGGAACTTGGAACTAGTCATCGTGAAGTCCTTGTTTCACTTGTTGAATATCACAACATTTCAACTGCTAAAAAGTGATAAAGAATGGGTTTAGTGTAGGTCGATGGTGGCCAATGTCCTGAAAGGATAAGAACCGAGAAAGAAAGAAAGACATCTGAAGCTGTAAATCTCGTCAATCGCGAACCTCTGGAAATGTTTTATCAAGTCACTAATTAAGAAACGTTTGGACAATTTAATTCGACTTGGAAAACCCATCATAGATTTTTGGAATCAATTTCTAGAGCTGGATGTTGCAAAAAGAGAATGGAAAAGACTAGATGTGCTTGACAGAAAATACGAAACTTGTGTGACATGTGCTAGGCCCGCTTGTCCTGCATATTCTATGAACAGCTCAAAAATACTGTGTGAACATTGTCTGTCATATTTAAATAAATAATTCAAAAAAACATTAAATAACTTTTACATGCAATTTGTTTCGAAATTTCATTATTTTGATACCAGAATTAAAATCATACTTTTATCGAGTGTCTCTCTGTACTAACGTAACCCCGTTTAGGTTCAGCGCGTTATTTCATTGCATATCAAATGCTTTTTAGTTGATAAAGTATATTACCTATATTTTAGGAAAAATTAAATTTATTAGAATTGATCTGACCGACTGTCGCTCTATTTTGCCGAAGTTGTTAATGAGTTAATGACATCAGAATTGACCGTTTTTGTCATTTTCTTCAAAATACTTTGTGATACCAAATCAAGCAAACGTATCAGTCTCAAATAAAGTTGAAGTAAAAACTAATTTTTAATTTGTTGAACAAACCTCTGCGTCTGACAGAATAGTTTGCAAAGCAATTCGCAAATATTAAAAAATCATTGCCATAAAAAATTTATGAAAGTAATTTCAGTAATTTAATTGACTGAAGCAAGGTCTGGCCGAGTCTAGGTGACTCATTTCTACCAACTGTCCATTCATGCTATCATTCGTCGGCCAGTGGAATCTAGTGTTTGTTAAATATCATCAGAAGATGAACAGTACAGAAAATCCAAATTTTCAATTAAAGTCTTCAGACAACTAAACAGTGATGTCGTCATCTTTTGAATTATTCTGTTTATAACAGCTCTTAAAATGCGAGATTTTATAATTTTTTCAAATGCTTTTCATAATATTTAAAAAAATTGCAATGAGAAAAATCAATTAAAAAGCATAAAAAAACCAATTATAGTTTCATATTTGTTTCTATAAGACTAAAATAACTAGTTCTACAGAAATTTTTTTTGAAAACTGGAGAAATAAAAAACTCTTGAACCAAAAACGTCGGACTGGATTGAAATGACAGTAATGTAATGATTGAAAGGTTATGACCCATGACCCATTGAATCCCATTCTGACATAAGTTTGTTTCTTCAAAATGACGTTCAATCAATCAGTCATAAAAACTTATTGGAAGCAATACCGATTAAATGCTGATGCCATGCCAAATTCTAATTGTTTCCTTTTGGGGTCGAATAAAAATTTTAAATTACTTTTTGTGTCAAAAATGTAGTACAGCCTGTTTACATAATGCACACAGACACCCATACGTGTACAGTACACCAACATGCATGCACACAAACTCACAATTCGAATCAGAGGCAAGTAACTTTGTGCATGCATTGCAAATTGAATTTGATGCTCATCTCATTGGCTAGGTGTGTCAGTTCGAATTTAAGGCCCAAGCGAGCTTCGCTTGAATACCGCGGCACTATGACGAGTGCAAGCAAACGGATTAAGGACTAACGAGATTTAAAGAGACTCGGTTTGTTGTTCTACAGTTGTTCTTGTTGTTGCTGTGTTTCTGTTATGTTACTTTTAATATTGATAATTTGTTTAGCTGTACTGATGTTTTTAGCGTTGCTGTTTTAGGCTGCTTGTTTTTTGTTGTTACTGCAGCTTTTTATATTTGCTTCAATACCTTTTTATCGGAGTTGTTTTGTAATGTTATTGCAGCTAATGATTGTTATTGCTTTAGTTGAGGCTGTATTATATTTGCTGTTGCTGGCTGTGTTTGCGTCCTGTCTGTTTATTTCATTTCTGTTAATTTTGATGTTGATCTTTACGTTCGCCACACAACAATTGCACAAAATTGTTACGTTGTACAGCTATGACATAATTCAGGCTGTTTTGTTTGTTTTTTTTCATTTGTTTCCGTATCATGAAAATTTAATTTCATCTGGTTTGTGTTTACATTAAAAAGGTTTAAATTTTTTTTACGTGAAGTTCCTACAGCAAAATAAACTACACACGCACACATCCACAGACACACATACATATATAGTCTATATATAGTCTATATATTTTTATAAACATGTTTATAGATTTTTTAATATGGAAAAAAAATCATTAAAATGGTTTTACAGACGTCTTTATTAATGTCCCATCTGGGTAATGTTGGCCACTCCTTGAAGCTTTCAAAAAAAAAAAAAAAAAAAAAAACTAGTAAACTTTTCATTACCAATTAATTTAAATAATTTTTTTAACTTCATTTGTTTTAAATGGATAAAATTAATTAAAGTAATATATTTTAATTGATTTATACGTGTTCATAGCACGTAGAAAAATGTAAATAATTTATATTATACTGTTTGTACCAATTTGAACTGACTGACGATGAAACTTTTATTTTGAAATGTTTGGTTATATATAGTAATAAAAATTGAATATAAGTATTTTAATTATCAAATTAAATGTATTTCTTTTTATTCTTATAAGAAAAATATGCAATTGTAACAGCAAATCGAAATTTCTTACGAAAACATTAAATCTTTTTATTAAAGTTGGGGTAAAATTTTATCAACTATAAAACCAAGTGTTTACTTGAAATCGTTGTTGAGTTAGTGTATTGAGTTGGTGAGAAGAAGCGATGCTAATTGATATCAGGGTTGGGGTAATGGGTTTGTCATGTGCAATGAAAGCTCTCTGAGGTCTACTCTCATTTTGGTGAAAAATTGGTAACGTTTCTGTTATTTGTAATCATTCTCCTCAATTCATTAATAATTTTATTGAAAACACATAATTAAACATGTTCATGTTTAATTTAATTGCATCATTTAACGTTTTTTTTACTAAATCTGTCTTGCAGCTGATTGTTGCTTCGTCTAATTAATACAAAAATTAACGTTTTTTTTACTAAATCTGTCTTGCAGCTGATTGTTGCTTCGTCTAATTAATACAAAAATTAGAAAACTATTTGTGTCATTTTTGGAGTGGTAATTGTTGTCATCTATAGTGTAAAAGATGAATGCATGCACATGCGTTTATATGAATGCATGCACTCTTATGAATACCTGTATACACATATAAATGCCTTCACACGTATTAGTTCATGCACTGATATGAATGCATGCACACGCATCAGTTTATGCACTGATATGGATGCATGCACTGGTATGAATGCATGCACTGGTATGAATGCATGCACTGGTATGAATGCATGCACATGCACTCGTGTTAAATGCATCATCGTCACAATCGATGCATTGTGTAGATAGAAGAAGACAATAAAAACTGACTGGCTGGCTGGCCTACGCGGCTGATTGATTGACACGCGCCGAGGAGCATTTACCTATTTTATTTCTCTTCTCGTTTGTTTGGTCGTGTATAATTCTTTTTCTTTTCTTGTTTTGTTGTATTTGTTTTATTAATGCAATTTAAATGATCATGCTTCATTTGCAGTAGAAATTACATTATATTTGTAGTCACATGTTGAAATAAAATGAAATTGATGTGATAAAATATTATATTTAGAATGGAATCCACGCACAAGTTTCATTTCGAAACTCCATGACTTTTTTAAAGTTTTGTAATTCAATAACAATTGCTATTATGCACAGATGATAAACATATCAATGATGAGGGTGAAAGTGATGAAGGCATGATAAAAATGATAATGACGAAAATGACAACACCTAAAAAATGTCTCATGTAACGTAACCAAAAGTGGATTTAAGAGTTTGGCGTTTAATTAACTTTTTTTTATTATTAACAAACAATATTTAATACGTCTTTTAATAAAATAAAGTAAATTACTTTAAATGATGGATACTAAATGTTTTTCACGTTCTCGTTCTCCAGTCAAAAAAATGAAACAGACATTAAAAAATTTAAAGTTTATAATAAAAAATATTAATTCAAATGAAAAACTTTTATTTAAATTTTTTGCTCAAAGGAATGTTGGTAATAAAAAAATGCAAGTCTTTTATTCAATAGTACATTTTGGATTTCATTATTTTTCGCTTTACTTTCATGTCAAAAAATCTATGAATTATTTCGTCAAAAGATGTTACAAAGTGCATCTACATATAACAAAAGTGCGCAGTCACAACTGTCATTATAACCATGCAGACACCCAAGAATAAAATAATCTAAATGACCTTAAATTAATTTTTGGCATGACTTTAATTCAAGACATAATACTTTATATGTTGTTTATTTGTTTTAACATCAAAATTAGCCAGCCCAGGTGCCAGCCTTCATAGCCTATTTGTAAATACGTATTGAAAGCTTGGATTCAATGTGCGCATGTGCATATGAGCACACTTGTGTGGAAACAGTTAGATTAGACACACACTTGTCTCACACACGTGTCATCATTTCTCATTTGTGCTGTGAATCGATGAGCCCATGTTCGCTTATTAAGGCCAGGGACAAACATAAACGAACACACTTCCGTATTTATAACTAGTTTGTTTATTTTAAAAATTATCTATTCAAAAATTTTAAAAAAATAACTATTTGTTTGGTGTTAGCTACAAATTATAGATAGTTGTATTATTATTCATGATTTTTTATAATATTTTTTTAAAATGTGACCTAGACCATTTCTTGTCATCCTCATTAAAGCACCGTCATTATACAATGCTAACCTATTTTTAGACTTATTCAGGCAAGCAGAAAGTTCAAGTAAACAGTGCAACCAGCCTGTGGCGTCTGAGCAATGCTAACTCTAATGACTATGATAAATAGTGTCAGGTTAATCATAATGACAATTAACAGTCAATATTCAGAAGGCAGATAGTAGCACCTTTCTGAGAGATGAGGTGCTGTTGAGAAGTTTAATA